AACGCAACCGGTGCTAACACTATACGTTTTTAAGTTTGCAATGTGCATCACTTCCACTCAGTGCTTTGTAAGCTCTAAGTAGAGCTCTAAGTGCTTTGTAAGCTCTAAGCAGAGCTACAATGATTTATTGATTAGCTGATCATCAAAAAAAAGAAATTGGCAGCTATATATAATCAAATCATTTTTTTTTTTTCACTTTTTACGAAAATGCTAAAAGCTATCTGTTTTCAGCCTCTAAAATAAGAAGTGTTGCTGCTTTTCTTTGTGTTATATCATAATAAACTGAAAATCTTTGGGTTCTGGACTGTTGGCACAAGATTTTCAATGACGTCACCTTCAACTCTGGGAAATTTTAATATGTTCCAGCATTTTATAGACAGATTAAATCAAGAAAATGGTTGGCAAGCTAATCGATAAAGAAAATAATCTTTAGTTGTAGCCCTACTTTGAAGAAACAAACACCTTGTATGTACATGAACTGATTGCTGCGTTATTTTGCAGTTGTTTGCTGTTGTACAAATGAATGTGTCTGCTGCTCTGGACCCAGACAGGTTGTTTCTTCAAGCAAGGACACAGCTGAGAAGTGAGAACTGCTCCATCATGGATTGAAACGCCTCTGTCTGTATTATTTCTCACACTTTCATCACTCTTGCTTTTACAGTCACAACATTTTTGTGATCTTCAGCGTCTCTGCCCTGTTCTATTAAATACTTAGACACACGTAAGATGAACACACGCAACAATACACGCTCTGCAAACATTTACAGCCCACGGGCATTTAAACTCATCTCCAAACGGCTGATTTTTTGGAGGATGACTGTTGTGATGATGTAACTTATATCTGATATAAATATAACATGACAGTAGAAAAAAGTCACGCAGGCAAGCACAGTAACAGAGAGAGATGTGTGTGAGACTACATGTGCACCTTGTGTGTGTTTGTGTATGTACAGTAAGTGTGACATTGATCGCTCATGACAACTGGTTTGTTTTCTACTGTCTCTGCATCTGAGCTAACACTGACCACGCTCCAAAATTAAAGCAACTGTCTCAGGTGGATGACATAAGATTTACAAAAAAAAAATACAAAATTAGAAATAATAACAGGATTTTGTCTTTTAGAAAAAGAGAAATGAGAACAAAAAATAACAAATCTGCATTATCAAGAAAAAGAAATTCTGAATTCTTATAATACAAGCTTCACTGTTTAACATATTAAAAGTAAAAAGAAAAAGTGTCCGTTACAATTTGCCAGAGCTCAATGTGACATTTGATTGTTTCTTTTGTCAAATCTACAACACTAAACCTCACCATATTCACAACAAAACAGTTGTTGATCAATTTTCTCTCAATCAGCTAATTGATTAATCCCTAATGTTTTCCGCACTAATTTAAACCTTCACTATAAACCTGACATGGCTGCAACAAATGACTTTCAAGGTCATAGAGAGAGTAAATGGGTTTTGGCAAAATAGAACAATCCAATATGACACACTCAAGAAAAGGGGTTTCAAACATATCTCGCCAAAGACAGAGTAATAAGCTACTTGAATGTAAAGATAATCATTTGAATTGCAACAGCAGAAAACAAATACACACATTTTTAAAAAGTTTAAAACAGAAGTGGCTTCCAGACTCCACTAAACCTGAAATCTGAACTTGACCGTGAAACATTTCCTCGATAAGAAAATGAAAAACATCCATTTCCTGTCAACAAGACACATTACTTCTAACCACCAATCATATCACAGAAAGAAACCTGCTTCTAACCTATCATATACCGATCCTTTATTATGAAGTAAGCTACATGCACCACATGCTATTGCTGAGTGTCAGAACAGCTATTGCAGATAAACAAGGTAACAAGACATCAGTGGTATGAACGTAGTTTGTCTGCTTGAAATCCCATTTGGCCACAAAGTGGAGGAGACGATCTCAAACGGGACTAAGCTAACATTACACAAAACTGATGATGATGGTGAGACACAGTTTACTTTTAACAAAGCCAAAAATCTGTGCCAACAAATGCAAGAACTACCACAAACTAAGTGTATCATGTGAAGCATCACCACCCAATAAACCACACAAAGTGAAAGCACTTCCAGTCTCCAACACTAGCAATTAGACTTATCCACTGGAACACAGACACTCAGAGAAACACCGCCACAACAACCTGCGAAATTACAGTCTTACCTTAATAAAACTTTTTGGTTGCTATGGTTGAAATGATGAAGACATTTAATCAATACATTATCAAAATTGATTGGATTTAAACTAATAACTGATAACTGACCCCAGATATGTCAGGATGTAATGTTTGTGTTTATTTTCATATCATTTATTAATATACATAGATTTTCTTTTTGCAGCTCATTTTCAGGGTATGAATCTACAACTAAAGAGCTACAGATTATTTTTCTTACGATTTAATATTGTGATCAATATTCCGACAGTCCCATACAGAAGAACACGTAGACAGACCCGGGCACTTCCTGTCTTTGGGTGAATGTTTGGAACCTGAGGGAGTTGGCTGACTGATTGATCCTGCTCCTGTCAGATCTATACTGAATTATCCTGCTGTCAGGGAGGAATGCTGCAGCCAGCCTCAACCTGCACACTGCTGTTGCAGGAGAACACACACAAACACTAGGAAACACACCTCCAACTCTCACTGCCAACCTGGTTTTGAATCTTGGTCATAGGAAAGTTACCACTGAGGAGACTGGACATTAGGTCACAGGTCTATAAATAAATATCTCCTCATATCATTTCCTTTAAATACAATTGATCAAAACATTCATCAATTATTTCGGGCAATTATTAAGTAAAATCCAAAACATTTTCTGATCACAGCTGCATAAATGCTCAGAAAATGTTTAATTTATTTTTTCTGATGATTCATTGTTGAAAAAAAAAGAAAGTATTTTTGTAAGAGAAAACGCTGACTAATGACAAGTTACCACCTGCTGATATGACTAACAACTCAGTAATTCCTAGTTTCCAGCTACTACATAAAACAACAATAGTTATTTGGTGTTTAACTGTTTCCTTGGCCTCACACACCAACAAACAAAAGAAAAGGCACACAGCAATTTCTAATCCCACAAACATTTTTATCTCCATAGCACATGTGCTTAACATAACAGGAATTAGAAAACATTTTAAGTCAGTGTTGGTTGATACAGAATAAAAATAGCACCAGAGCTGCTTGTATTGCTCTCGCATCCTTCATCTTCTGACATATTTGCCTTTAAAACTCTCTTTTTAACATCCCACTGTGCCAAATGCAGGTAATGATGTAGCCAACAGCTCCAAACATAGACTGTGCTATTATAATTTAAGTGTGTGAGTGTGCACTGGTTGAAGTGGAAATACTGAGGCCGAGTCGAACAGAAGCTGGAAGACATGAAACATCACACACCAGTGTACGTAGACAAAAAAATAATATTACTGCTGTCTGACTGCCCATCCGAATCAGTCACCATGGCACTGAGCAGCACGCAAACACTCAGAGGGGGAGAATGTGGCAGCCTGAGGTGTCGCACAAAGTTGTCAAGTCATATGGCGGCTGGATCTTCAGAGGGCCAATGAACACACACAGACACACACTTCTCTCTGCTTGCTAACTTCCCATCAGGCAACGCAACTGGCCTAAATAACAAGCTTAAATAGGCCTTGCTGTGGGGAGAAAATGACAGACATGGAGGGACAAGAAGAAAACACACTCACACAAACACATACACATATACACACACACACACACACACACACCTTTGATAAACCTTCAATAGCCCAGTTCCTCTGCTGCATTTCCCTGGTCTTTCACAGCCTATTTCCTCTTTGGACAATCAGTTCAAAGAGCGCTGGCTAAGGACAGTTTCTTCTCAGAGGGCACTTAAAGACCATTTTAGAAAAAGACGCCTGAATGAAAGTAATAGACAGTATAAAATGAAAACCAGGCGGGGTAATTTTCAAATTATATGGAAGCTGACTGTGTCTTCTGTATTTTGGGAGTCTGGCGTTTATATATCTTCACATGGAAGCCCAGCAGAAACAGAAGTGTGGCCCATTTTAAGTCCAAATACATCTGAAGAAATGCTGCATCAAAGACAGACAGATCCTCCCTACTCACGGGATGTGAAACCCTGTATCTGGCGCAAACACCAAAATGAACAGGAAAGTCATTCAGCCTGTGAATGCAGTGTCCACTAAATTATTGAGCAACAGCAACATCACTCATAAGCATTCAAAAGCATGACAAACATCAACCAGTGCCTCTCTGTGTGGTGCACAATACCGCTTTACCACTGCAAATTGCCCCAGGAGTATTTGAACTGAAGTGTACTTCTCATTCATTGTCTACACAGACAGTAGCAGGGCTTGTCAGGGCTGCTGCACTTGACACTGTGTGATACAATGCATCTTGGCTGTTGCTTACCACCTAGCCGGCTAACTGTCACTACCCAGGGCTACTTAAACTCTTCTATAAGTTGACAGACTTCAATAACAAACGCAAAAGCCGCCTCACAAGCAGAGAGGGCTTAACCAGCAGAAAAAAGCCCGACTCTCATTGAAAGCTCTGGCCCCAGTGAGCAGAATGTCAATTAGTTAGCTAAGTTAGCTACCGTTAGCCTAAGTTACTGAAATCCCTCTGGACAAGTTTATAAACTTTGGCGACAAATGTAAAAGTCTAAAAGGAGAATGTCGAGGCAAAACGCCGAGGCCAGCCGTGACAGTTAAGACTCGTTGTAAATGTTTAGACACTAGTGTGTAGAATGTAAATTAGCTAGGTTTAATGTTTGCTAAAGTTAGCTGGTTAGCTGTCCGATAATGGACACATGTCCGTTAAAGTTTTGAGCAAGCTCCCGGAGTCTCGGAGGAGTTGCTAACTTGACGCTAGTCTACAGCTAGCCGCACTCCCTCAGCTGGGTGACGCCGTGAGTTCAGCTGTTTTCACCGGGCTGACGAGGGACAGTCGCCGGGGGTGGTGGGTTACTCACCGGAGGGTCGGTCCGATACAGTTGGTGTCTGTGCTCTCTATCTCCCGCAGGATACGTTCGTGTTCGGCGGCTGTCTCCATGCTCGCCATCCTGCATGTTGCTGTGGACGGTTCCGAGCTGAGCTGAGCTGAGCCGAGCCAGGCAGAGCGGACTGGCTGGGCTCTGTGCGTCATGAGGAGGAACCAGGGGGGTTGGTTTGATGTTTTTACAGAGCAGCCCGAGTGAGCGGAGTTTCTCTTGCTTGAGGAGAGTGAATAAAAAAAAAGTATGAACACCTGTACAACGTTATATATAAGGGTATGATGTTTAGCTGCAACAGATGGCTATTTGAAGAGTCCAAAATATAATTGAATGAATATAATACAACGACTTAAATTTTTTTTATCTTAAAAAATTAAAAGCCATCACTCTTTGTTTTTCTTCTCATTTTCCCAAACGTATTTTAAATCTTCCCAAATAATTCCTCACCCCCTCAAAATACAGCATCGCTGATGAAATGAGTTTGTTCTGTACATCCCAAACTGTCTAAAAAACAAACTCTCATTACATTAAATGTGATTAAAATTTAAAAAAAAATGGCAAAGCAAAATTGATTCAAGGTTAAAATTTCATGACTATTAAATATCCCTACTTAAATAGTTTTTATAGTAGGGTCTGCTAACCTCCTTAAGGAATAGAGTTCAGCAAATTAAAATTATTATTTTTATTTGATTCTGACGGTTTTACATTTTTTTCAGTCTTTTCTCACGGACTGTGCCGTACTGTAAGTATTTTTTTTTTGGCATAAAAGCACAGATTTTTTCAAATTTGGTTCACATTAACGATATTTTAATACTTATTAGTTAATTTAAAAAGTTTTAATGCCCTACAGCCCCGAGAGATAGTTTACCGGAAACACCGCCTTTCCCTCCGCTTTTTGCAACATGAAGCAAGACTTCCTCTCAATTTTTCAAAATAAAATCAATAATAAAACGCTTAGTTCACTTTTAGTTAATGATGCGTCTGTGTGGTCTTGTTTTGCTGCGTATTTATAATAATGCCACCACTATGCATTTTGCTATAACCACAGTAACTCTACACCCCACGCTCAAATAAGAAGTTACCCTTTTTTACATCTAGCTAAATCATATGCTTTTATTTTGTAGGAAAAACGCCACACTATCAGGCGTCATTTTTAGCGTAAACTAGCAGACTTGATACGGTTTGTTACTACCTGCTGTCGGAGGGGAAAAGAAGCAAGAAATGTCAAAATGGAGGTAAAAATAAACGATAATAACTTTAAAAGATATTTTTGAACATCAGCGAGGAGATGCACTGCGCGTCTGACTGTACATTTGTGCTGACATGACGGATGCCAGGAGGCTCTTATAGCATGACTGTGTTAGCATTGCTTTGTACACTTGTCATTCAAAGAGACCAGAGTCCAGTGCAGTGATAACGGAAGTGAAGGAAAAGCTGTAAATCCTACATTTTATACTGTGTTGTTGTTGCAGATAAAACGTTATTGTGAAGCTTGTGTAAACTAGGATTTAACTGTGTGTGTTTATGTGGAATGGAATGAGGACTGTCTGTCACTTATTCACACACACACCCACACACACACACACACACACACACACACACACACACTAAGTAATGTAAAACACTTAATGCAAAAGCATTTGCACATGGAAATATGTGGAGAGTAAAATAACTGATTGGTCACATTCATTACCTTTATTACTGATGCATTAATATATGAACAGCCATTGAATGTATCTTGATATACTTTTTGTTAGATTCAACTACTACAATATATCATAAACTGTGAGCATATTGTATATTTTGTTCTTTATTTCTCTCTATCAGCCCCAGAAGAAGTTAATAAACTCAGTGGACAGCTGTGTGGATGAGGCTCTCTGCGGCCTCGTCAGGGCCAGTGGGGGCCTCTCTCTGCTGAAGGGCCACAGAGTCGTGCTCCGGTCCGACCTGGACAACCTGAAGGGCAAAGTGGCCCTGTTGTCGGGAGGAGGGTCAGGGCATGAGCCGGCACACGGGGGTAGATCTTTTACAGAGCAATTGTCAATTAATTGTCTTAGCTTTTATTTCTCATGTTTTAATCTTCCTCCTGTGGGTCTCCAGGTTATGTTGGTGCGGGGATGCTGTCAGCAGCAGTAGCAGGTGGAGTATTTGCGTCTCCACCCCCTGCCAGCATCCTGGCTGCCATTATGTCCTTGCATAATGCAGGTAATATATGCCAGACTTTTGCCGTTTTTCTATTTTTAGTCAGGGAGCAGGTTGTGTCTTATTTACTGAAGGAAAGTACTGCACAATATGGTGCAAATATTGCTCTGTCAAAAGGATTCATCGCTGCAACAAACACTTCAGAGGGAAAAAACTTCTTTAACTTGTGTTAAATTAAGTTTTTGTCACTATTGTGAACATTAATTTAAATAATAATTAAATTGATAATAATAATTGAAGATGAACAACCCCCTCCCTCCCAGGAGCCTCTGGGGTCCTTCTCATCGTGAAGAACTACACCGGCGACCGCCTCAACTTTGGATTGGCTGCAGAGCAAGCCCGTAACCATGGCGTCGCTGTTGACATGGTGATTGTTGCTGAGGACTGCGCCTTCGACCGACCCAGTAAGGCTGGGAGGAGAGGCCTTTGTGGCACCGTCTTCATACACAAGGTAAACAACAACGATGTGAAACTGCAAAAACTTTGGATCCTTCATTTCCCATAATGCCACTCAGTTACATTATACATGATACTTTGATTTTTTTTTTTTTTTAATTAAATAAAAAATCTTACCTTTAAAAATCTGTTCACACTTTCTGCCAGTTGGCAGGTGCGTTGGCAGAAGAAGGCTCTTCATTGGACCAGATTGTTGCCAAGGTGACAGCAGTTTTGAAGGGGATTGGTGAGTCACTCCTTCACCAGCTCATTCCCTTTACTGCTCTTTGGTTACTGGAATACTTTTCCTAGTAATACATTTTGTTGGTGTTTTGTATTCCAGGTACACTGGGGGTGAGTCTGTCTCCGTGCAGCGTCCCAGGCTGCCTGCCTTCGTTTGACCTGCCACCAGGAGAAATGGAGCTGGGACTGGGTAAGGGACAGTGAGAGCGGGATGGAGAAAGAGAGAAGGGAGAGGGGTACAGAATACAAGATTTTTAGGTCTGATACCAATTGTTTGGATTGTTTGAGGACATTTCTTAAAGTTTAATAGTGTTTTCCATCTTTTTCAGGTATCCATGGTGAACCTGGAATCAAAAGGTCAAAGGTGATTCAACACCAGCCTAAATCTACCATCTATATGACTCCATTTACCCTTTTTCTGTGAACTTTTCAGTCCCTTTTTGTTTGTTTTATTCACTTTTGCTGTCAATCAGGTGGCATCCGCAGACGAGGTGGTGAAAACCATGATAGATCACATGACCAACCCTGACAGCCAATCCTATCTGCCGCTGAAATCAGGTACGATATTATCATTTTTATATACATATATTCTTATTATAATTATAGTGGCTTTTAGCGTATGCAGCCACTGTTTATTTGAACTCTGTGTTTGTGTGTGTCGTCCTTCTTTCATACAGGAAACAGTGTGGTTGTGTGTGTAAACAACCTCGGAGCTCTGTCCTGTCTGGAGCTGGCTGTTGTTACTAGAGCTGCCGTCATCTGTCTGGGTAAAGTGTGTGTGTTTTTGTGTGTGGTTACATTCGCTCGACGATGTTCAAGTGTTGAAAGAACCATTTAAAAGAATCTAGTCCCAACCAAGGAGCTGTAAAGTTTTCTTTGACACTTCTGAAGATGCTGTGGAATGTGATCGTTGGTCTCCATGGTTACAGAGAATCACGGCTTGGTGGTTGCCAGGGTGATGTCTGGCTCTTTCATGACATCACTGGAGATGGCGGGAGTGTCGCTGACCCTGATGCTAGCCAATGAGGAAACACTGAGACTGTTTGGTGAGCATGAACACACAATTAATTCCCATAGACCCAAACCTTAAAGGAAATGTTGAACATTTGGGGAAATACAGTGAGATGAGGAGAGTGATATCAATATATATTTTTAGCCTAGCTTAGCATAAACACTGGAAGCAGAGGGAAACAGCTAGCCTGGCTTTGGATAGCTTCACCTATCAACACTTCTACAGCTGACAGATCTTGATTGTTTAACCTCCAGAGAAAGATGCGTGGAGTGACTGTGCACAGATTCCCAAAGTGCCGTCGTCACAATGAGGATGAAAATGTTTGGTACGAAGCTCCAAACTCAAATCTGATGTCTTTTTTTTTTTTTTTTTTAAATTTAGCACCACTTCCAGAGGCATTGCACAAGCAGCACCATTGTTTGTCAAGAAATACCTCCAACACGTAACTCTCCTTAAAACCACAGCGTTCTTTATACATTTCAGTTCACTTACAGGTTAAGCAAACAGGGAACACAGTGTAAATACAACAGCTCTGGAGATATTGGTACATGCACTTTCTTTAGTGTGGAAAAAGCCAAGCCACCGGTGTCCTCCTGTTGCCAGTTTTAATCTGAAGCTAAGCTAAACATATCCTGACTCCAGCTCTGTACTTAAAGCTACAGTGTGTAACTTTTCTCTTATATATATTTTGTGGAAATATACACCAAAATATCTTCATGTGGACCTTCTTCTAACCAATCAGAGAAGGCCAAAATGTCCTCATTTTCCAAAAACGTCCTCACAAGGTCTAAAATTTAAATAGTCCAGACACACACTTTTAAGAGGATAATCACACCAAGAATCATTTAAGTATAGACTTGGTACACACACAGATTAATAATACTGTGTGTTTTAACATATACTACACTAAACCACGCACATACTGAACATCCTTTGTCCCACACAGATGCTAAGACCAGGGCCCCCGCCTGGCCAAACCTCAGCAGTGTGTGTGTGAGCGGCCGCAGCTACATCACAGATCCTCCAGCCCTGGGCACACGACCGCAGGACGACACACACTCGGAAGGTTGGTTTCCAAGGTTACTTAAAGTGTGCACTTGTAGGTTATTAATATCTGCTATGTGGTGAATTTGTATGGTGTGATATTTTAGAGAAACAGTGACAAAAGACAAGATTGTGCCCCAGAATTTTTAATTTAATTTAACCTTGGTGGCCATTAGAGGAACTGCAGCTTATTTAAGTCCCCTATCAGCCTTTGCATACAGCCACGCGAGCTGCCAAGTGTCATCTTGCTCATTAATGAAATATATGTTGTTGTTTTTTCTGGCTAGGTCCATTGAGTCCTGTGATGCGCAGAGCATTAGAGCGGGTTTGTTCCTCACTGCTGGAAAAACAGGAAGAACTCAACTCCCTGGACCGCGCTGCCGGGGACGGAGACTGTGGGAACACTCATGCACAGGCTGCGAGAGGTAGGAAACTGTGAGGACTATCAACAGCAGCGTAATGAGAATAGAAGAGGAAAAGTGCATAAAGACACTATGAATACGTGAAAGGATGTTTAATTGTCTATGAAATATTTAACTTTTAACAATTGGGAAAATGTTCATTCAGCCATTCAGGAGTGGCTCCAGGGTCACGTGGTCCCTGGTTGCCCTGCGAAACTCTTATCGGTCTTGGCTGGATTGGTGCAGGAGAAGATGGGCAGGTCTTCAGGGGCGGTAGGTTTTCCACTGTATTTCATCATTAAGATTGCACAGTTTGGATACGAAGTGGTAACAGCTTACGCTATATTTACCCGCATAAACACACACTCGCTTTTATGTGTCTCTCAGTTGTACAGCCTGTTCCTGACTGCGGCGGCTGCTCATGTGACCGAGGGGCAGAGCAACGCTGCAGCCTGGGCCAGTGCAATGCATGCTGGGACGCAGGCCATGAGGAGGTGTGTGGCTGTTTGTCTGTCTGTGTTAATTTTTTGTGATTTATATTTTGATTAAAAGTGATTTAAATACTTCTAATCTCATCTCTTTTGAGGTTCTGAATACAATATGAACATTAAAGTGTGCAAGAAGTGCTGAAACTGTCAATTATGATCTGTCGCCAGGTACGGTGGTGCTGATCCTGGAGACAGAACAATGGTGAGAGAGTTGTCAACTTATTTCTATGCAACTTTTCATACACGTTTTTTATTTTAATAAGTTATTTTCACCGGTGCTCAGCAGTAAAATATTTATGAAATAACAACTTTATACATCTGCTTCTGTTTCTCTTCCTCTCTAGTTGGATGCTCTGTGTCCTGCTGTGGATGAGCTGATGAAGCTGACTACAGCTCCACCTGGTGGACAGATGCTCATACTACAGGCTGCTGTGCAGGTGCAGTTATAATTGAAAGACTGCACTCATTTGTTTTAATCAGATTTTCTACACTGGCTGACTTTGTTTGCAACGTGTTTGTTTGTATATTCCCTGAATTGCATTTCTTCCCTCTCTCTTCCTAGAAAGCTGCATCGGGGGCGGAGGCAACCCGTGACCTCACGGCCAAGGCGGGACGGGCCAGCTACATCGCAGCCGAGAGGCTCACCTTGCCCGACCCCGGTGCTGTGGCGGTAGCCGCCATCTTGAGAGCCGTGCTGGAGTCACTGGAGGGGCAGAAGTAATGCAGCAAATAGTACCAGAGCAGATTATTACTATCAGCAGACTAATAGTAACAGAACAACACTATCATGCATCAATAATTTGCACAGAAAAATTAATGTGACTAAATATTCACTGTGATGTTAACCCTATTTTTGCTCATTTTCATAGAAGACATACAGTAAATGAACAGAAACTAGAAAAGTGGGCACCTGAAAAACATTCCTTATAACTGCAAATGGTTGCAACATTAAAATTTTAAAAATATCTGTTATGCTGTTCAATCAGTTCTATGTGAATAAGTCACTGTAGCTTCACAGGCTAGCGTAACATCCAGTTTTACATTTCATACTTTGAAGTATGTTGTGTTCAGTTGTGCAAAATGTAATTTAAAAGATTTAAGATGCACATCATTATTGACCAATACTTATTAAGTGTCAAATGTATCCCGTTTACCTTTCTCTAAACAGGTCAGACATTAGCAAGCTAAGTTGGTTTAGCTACACATCAGTCACACTTGGTAGCTCCTGGGTGTAAATACTTAGTAACAACTAATTTCTACATACATTTCTACAGGTTTAGGAGGTGCGACCTGTTGTAATTTAGTCATGAGTAAGTTTCCACTCAGTAAACAACATTAGAATAAAGCTAAACTTAAGAATAGCTGGTCCAGCCGGCTACAGGTCTTCATGTCTTAAATCTGTACATGAATGAAATGCACTTTCTTAACAAAACAGTATTAATTCTGACTAATAAATTAATTAGTTTTACAAAATGTTTGTGTTTGTGCACATGGTTTTTTACAGCATTTCAGTCTATAATCCATGTAAGTGCATTTGCCCCAAGAGGTCAGAGATCAGTGAGCAGACAGGGGTCAACAACTGGCTCATGGGCACTTCAGGAAGGTTGGACTCCGTGGCTGCTGCTGGGATCAAAGCTCATTAAAAACAACACATACAGACACTGACACAGATTCATTCAAAATGACTGAGGTAGACATTTTTCTTCACATGTGATTTTCTCTCCTTGGTTGGGATTAAGTCATCTGTATAGATACCAGTCTTTTTCTTCTTTCTTTCAACTCTTCGTCTCTTCCCCTTGACTTTCATTTCTGTCTCGTTCTCTCAACTCCCTACTTCCTGACACACGAGATAAGTCACACACACACACACACTCAGCGTTTCTTGTTAGACTTTGAACACGCCCACACACTTATGTACTAAAAGAATCTACTGCGATAGACACGCTGGCTTTCAGTTTTACAGACACCACTGTGCTCACCACGGCAAAGGTAATTCTTTTCCTCTTGTAATGTGTGTTTGTGTGTGTTCCCTCTGGCAATAAGGTGTTTTTTGTTTTTTGTTTTTTCATATTAAAGACACAGAGAGCATGTTTATGTCAGGGAAGTCAGAGTCTCTGTGAAGACTGATTTGACAACAACCCGTTTTCTAATGTAGCTTTCATTTGCATTTTCCATTTTGCAAATTTAAAAAAGTGTAAGAATTCACTCGTGTTCCCTTAAGACCTGACATGTTTTACCAAACTGAGCAGCATCTAGGAACCAGATGGGGGTTAATTTGACATCTAGCAAAACTATTCAATATACAGCAAAGTGTCTGAAGTCCAAAGTGAGACATTCACCAATTGACTTACAGCGAGTGACAGCTGCTGTTGTGGAATGACTGATTACACAAAACCAAAATAGATCACGGTACTTTTCAGAATATAGATATCTGTGAGGAAAAGAAAATTCCGCAATTTTGCAGATGTTTAACACAAGAGAATCACAGAGGGAAAAATAAAATTCACAGTATAATATTGCTCTAGCTCTGTCCAGAAACCCATACGAAATCTTTAGTGTAAAAATAACAAATGGCAGTTTTATGGCGGGTTGTGGGTCACACTATTTCTTGGTCTGGACCAGTTGCCCGGCAACAAGCTCATACTCCAGGAAATTAAAAGTCCAGACTAAGAAAGAGTTCAGCACACAATTTGTTATTTAACTGCATGTTAGTGAGTGAACTTTGAAGAAGACGTGATGGTAGAAAGATTTTGTTACCTTAGGCAGAGCCAGGCTAGCTGTTCGCCCCCGTTTACAGTCTTTGTGCTAAGCTAAGCTAAGCTAGCTTCATTTTTAACGTACAGAAATGAGAGTGGTATCAATCTACTCGTCTTACTCTTTGCAAGAAAGCAAATAAGCGTATGTCCCAACATGTCAAACATTTATTTCAAAGACGGGCTGAGCTTAATTGCGTTTAGTTGGTGTCAATTTTAAAGCTAAAATTAGATTTGGCATTCAACATAGCATGGCTTCAATTCTTTACAGATTTCTGCATGTCAGGATGTTGATTTCCTCATGCTTCCATGTTAATGGATCAGGATCCAGGCCAAAATTAATTGTGTACAAAATGAGGAATCCATGAAAACAGGAGGCAAAAGGCTTCTCAAGCAGGTCTGTGACAACACAAAGAAAAATGCAGGGAAGCCACTGAATGAAGGAAAAAGTAAGAACATTTAAAAAATGGCTAAATATGTTCACAGTTACGGGAACCTGATGGCACGAAGAAGACAGACAGGCTTGGTCTGGAAGCTCCCCTCCTTTTTTCTTTGTGTCACATGTTTAAGCTACATTGACGTCATTATTATATCCTTCATTTAAACAGGTAGTCTCATCGAGATCAGGATCCATCTTCCAAGAGAGACCTGTGTACAGAAATACACACAGAATTTATACCTAGACAAGACGCACAAATTCACAGGCATTAAATAGATGCTTTACAGACATACATTTTACATTTTCACATTAGAAAAAAGCAACGAGCAAATGTGATTGTAAATACAAAATATCCCAGTGAAATAAGGGAATGTAATTTCATATTTTTGCAGGGTATAGTATTTGAAACCAGTTTTTCAGATATAAAAAAGAGAACCAAAAATGAACGTTTGGCTTTTTTGCTTAAAAAATTGACTAAAATAATTCATGAATTATATGTAGTTGCTGATTCTTTTTCTGCTAATCCACTAATAAACTAATTGTTTGAGCTCTATTTTGGATAGAGATAGATAGAGAAGCTCAGCCTGTTGGTCACAGCTGTGGGTCACCATGTTGACCTCATGATTTGACCCCTGTATCAGCCAATCATTGGACTATCTCCTCATCCTAACTATAACATAATATAATGTGACTATGAAATGGTTTAAAAATGAAGCTCAGATTTTCTGGTTATAAACGCTGCTGCTTTTTTCACGTTGAACTCACTGGTGTTCGCTCCGTGTCTTTGTTTCGGGCCCCGCTGACGGAGTTCAGCTTCCTGAATTCATATTAAAAAAATACTGTGCGCGTGTGTCAATCAGCCATGAAACACACCGTTACACACATTTGTGCTTCATCTAACCCTTACCAGCCCATCATGTACCAAGCTGTGCATTTTCCAACTTACAGTTGTTCAAACAGGAAACGTCTGCTTTCATGGTTTTACTCAGCCACCTGTTAACTAGAAAAATAACCAAATCAAGGGCCCGGTTGCTGTGGTGACGATGAATCCACAATGCCAGGAAGCTGATCTGCTGTTGTCATATTGCTGAGCTGTTTTATTTCTTTGTGCTGCATTCATATTTTTCACTTTCTTTCCTCCGTTCATTTGATCCAGGGTTTGAGCGTACAGCGGCGCGACTAAACGTCAAGCTTTTAAAAATGAAATTATAATATAAACGTTTTTGTGTCTTTGTGTGTCTCAGATGGAGTTTGCCTGCAGTCATGTCGTATGTAATTGGAGGTGTGACGAAGCAGGTGAGTGCATTAAAACCCATTACTCAAAAATATCACATAAAATTCAAAAACTTTTTCTTTTTTTTTTAAATAGAAAATTTCTAGTGAAACTTTGGCTGAAATTTTGCCCCTAAACTTTGGAATTGGACAGTTTTCAATAAACTTCTCAATACAAATATGTAATAATAATAATAATAATAATACTCTGATATGTATTTATATATACAGTATATATACTTGATACTAATATATATATATATTTTGCTGCATGCTTTTCTTAACTCTTTTCTGTGTCACATAGATAAAGCTTTATTTCCTTTTATATCTTTACTGAAGAACAATCTAATCATTTAATCAGCTCATCATTTGAAACATCACGCCTTCGCCTCTTCAATCGTTTCTTCTTTTTTTTCAAAATAAGAGCGTGCCTCCTGAGTTAGATGGATGAGTTAATAAGGTCATTTCAAATGGATGACATCACTTTAACCTGGATTAATTGATATAATATAAATAATATATATTATTATATTATATTATTTGTTCCATTTAATGTATGTTTGTGGTTTAACTTAGTGTTTTCGCATCATACATGTGTGTTAATAAAGTAATTGTCCCAACGTCCACAGATATTTCTCCTATTCAGAATGAATATGACAACACAGTGGCTTTTAAACAGAAAGGTAATTTTCTCTCTCTCGCTCTCTCTCTCCCACACACACACACACACACACACACACACACACACATCGCTCACAAAGGTCAGTGTATCTAAACTGTTGTTTTTCTGTCTGAAGAGTTCATTTTATTCTCAAGAGCCCTGCAGTGAAATAACAGGAAAACGCATTAAGCAGTAACATTTGTGTGTGTGTGTGTGTGTGTGTGTGTGTGTGTGTGTGTGTGTGTGTGTGTGTGTGTGTGTGTGTGTGTGTGTGTGTGTGTGTGTGTGTGTGTGAGTATTTATGCGTGTGTGTGTGTGTGTGTGAGAGAGAGTGTAAGTGTGTGGGCATGCTTGCAAGAGACAGAGAAGCACAGTAAAGGAGATGTAAAGATAACACTCTGACGAGGGAAAGTCCACACTGACATGTTAATTTAATCACATAAATGAAACCAACAGTTATTTCAGTTTGTCAAATTTAACTTTTAAAAAGTCAAACAGTTGTGTTGACTTTCTTTCTTTCTTTTTTTTTTACCACATTCACAGGATGTCTCACCACTTAACATGGTCAATATGGTGAAAAGCAGCTTTGACCTTGATGGTGAACTCACACAGACAGAAACTAAAAAAAATCACAAAAACAAGTTGCTGCCTTGGAAACAGTGGCGAAATCAAGACCCCATGCAAAGAAGCCCATTTAAGAACGCTGCAATTTACAGAGGTCCACCAAACACCTCACATGCAGACAATAGGTTGATGCTACGATTTACAGATGTTCACTGAATGGCAATAAATAGACGCCAGCTACAGCACTCATCATCAGGGGCCTCAGGGTTGTTTTTGAGCAACTGTGCACAACTAAAATCTTCTTTAAAACTCGTCTTTCTTTTCTTTCCCCCAGGTCCAGCTCCTCCACCGCTGCCTCCTCGCCGCGTCAAAAAACCTCATCCTATCTCCCTCCCTCTCCCCTCTGCTCCCGCCTTTCAGCCTCCGCTCATTCCTCGCTCGCTCCCGCCTCCTGTCCCACCCAGAAGTGAGTTTTGTTTGCCCTTTGCCCCCCCCCCCCCTCTCAATCTCTCTCTGTACATGAATGCTCCAAAGTTATATTTACTGTTTGCTTTTTTCATTCCTTTGTCGTGTTTCATCAGCTGACAAGCTCGAAGGAGAGAGCAGGTTGAAAGCCAACATCAACGTCGTCTCCCTCAGTGTTGGGAAACTGGTCAACATCAGCCAAGGTCACATTAACACACACACACACACACACACACACACACACACACAAACAAACAAACACACCTGTTCCATTTTTTAACCTCTTTTCTTTTTGCCTCCTTCTCTGAACAGCCTCAGGCATGGAGAATTTTCAGAGCCCAGTGGTTTGTGGGAAATGTAGTGCTGCCTTGTCATGTCTGAGTTCTCTACAGAGGAATGTGAGTGGTAACTTCCCCTTTTATTATCACTGAAACTAAGGTGACAGTAAAATAAAAAAAAGAATAAAATATCTTCTTCCTCAGGTGTGGGTGTGTGAGTTTTGCGGATGTGAGAACAGTGTAAGCGACGGCCTGCAGAGAGTGTGTATCGGTCAGCGCGCAGGTGTGCGCAGTGACGACCTTTACCTGCCGAGCCAGAGCGACGACGACTACCAGAACCTGGAGGACACGCTGGTGGTGTTCTGTGTGGACATATCTGGCAGCATGAGCGTCACTACAGAGGTGTGTGTGTGTGTGTGTGTGTGTGTGTGTGTGTGTGTGTGTGTGTGTGTGTGTGTGTGTGTGTGTGTGTGTTTAAAAAGATTTTGATTAAGTAAAAGTACCAATAAAAATACAAAATTACTGCATTTATTATCACACTGAAGCAAATAACAAGAGTATTATCCTTATTATTATATTGTATAATACAGTGGTTCCCAACCTATGGGTCGGGCCCCTCCAAAGGGCCACGAGATAAGTCTGTGGGGTCATGAGATGATTAATGGGAGAGGAAAGAAGAAAAAACATTGCTTTTTGTAAGGGATCAGTAGCAAAACATGTGGTTTAAGTTTTAGCACTTTACATATTTTGTCAGCTTATCATATGTTTTTTTCTTAATTTGAAAACCAACCAGTAACTATGGTTGTTTAGGTTTTAAAAAGTTACCTTTTGGTTTAGGATTAACAGAAAAACTAGGTAGTTAGCATGAGGTAATAACAGCCACAGCAGCCGAACACACAAACAAAAGAGCGCCAACGTCAGGAAACAACACTGCAAGACGGGAAATGTCACTTTAACACGGCAAAGTTTGACTGGAGGTGAAATTAATCATCACAGAAAACTATGATATGGTGTGTTACCAGCTTAAATCACAATAAGATAAGAAAAAAGTGTGTATGTGAACATTATATGTGAAGAGACATCTCAGTCTCATATTTTCTAGGTCACATCAAGCAGCGGATTTCCAGCACATATATCCAGACTAGAGGTGAGATTTTTATCAAGTTCACCATGGTGACTGAATATAAACTCGCACATGTATAGTTGTCAGCTGACTGTAATATTAATGTGGTTTGCATGTGGTGGTGACAGGGTATCCAGGACGCCCTCCAGAGAGCGCTGACGTCCATGCTGCAGCAGTCCCCCCGCAGGAGAGTGGCACTGGTGACATTCGGTGATGAGGTAAAATTACGTTTTTTTTTTTTTTTATTGCATAATATAAATGCAAATGTTATTGATTTGTTGCTTTTACAGGATGATTAAAGGGAAATAAAAATGATTTTATTTGGACTTTTTTCTCTTTTCTTGTGACATATTGAATAACTGAGAGGGAAAATGCCTCTTTGGGTGAACTGGACTTTTGTATACGAGACTGAACTATGGGATTTACATTGGAATTAGGGAGAATACTTGAGTTTTAGCCATTTACAGATGTTATAATCATGTTGTTTTAAAAGCTGAACTGAGAAATAAAGTCAAGAAACCCAGAAATCTCTAAAACAACAACAACAAAAAATTGTAGAAATAAACTTACAAATTTTCGAGGCCATCCCAGTGCAGTAGATTCAAACATCCACATCAGATGATTGACAGGCTGTAACATGCAGAACTGATATAAACACACTCGAGTCATCACGCCGTAACAAAAACAAGAGAAGACTTCCTGTTTGCGGTGATAAATTATTACAATCTGCGGAAGTTGCTTTTTCTTTTGTACGGTAAAATATCAGCAGGTGGTTTCTTCTGAGGGGAGGTAAATACAGCGATATATCTCCAACTGCTTTTATCTTCATGGTTGTGAAGATACAAAAACAAATCAAATGTTTGAAAGTGTGAAATCTGCCATACTCAAATTCGCATGATGCTCTAACCTTCTTCTCATCCGTTATTTTTACAGGTTGTAATATATGGTGACGGTACTAGCACTCCTCTCACTCTCAGGGACTGGGCCTTGGTCGACTACGACCATATATGGCAACAGGGTGCGGCTTACAGCATCCCACACTGTATTGCGGAGACCTTTCAGCAACTGATAAAGAGAGTCCGAGAGTAAGTGACGACATTGTATTTGCGTGTGGATCCCTGTGGTACACAACTGTAAACTTTGTTTTCTGTATAATCCAGGCTCAGGGAACACGGGGCTACGTGTCTCGGTCCTGCAGCGTTAGCCTCGGTTGCTATAGCGTCAAGATACCCTGGGTCAAAGGTGAGTGAGTCTAATTGACGTTTAAGGAAATACTGCGACGTTACACAACTTACAACCTATGGTATAAATGTGCTATTGATCATTTTATCTGCGTAGGTATTACTCTATCTGAGTAATCTTTACAGTGATGCTGCCCATGTGGACTGCAGCTTGTTGGTAATGTAGTTCCCAATCTTGTTGTACAGGTGATTTTGTGCACTGATGGCAAAGCCAACATTGGACTGGGTGAGATGGAGCAAACAGCATCTCTGTCCTCGTCTCCCCTCACGCCGTATTTCTACAGACAGCTGGCTCTTCAGGCGGTGGGGAGTGGGTGAGGACACACACAAATTACACAAATAAAATACAAAATAAAAAGAAATTAAAAAATAAAATTAAACACATTCTCATTCTTTTTCCTCCCCTAGAGTCATAATATCAATAATGAGCTTTGAAGGGACGGACTGTCGCTTGGCTGACGTTGGGAGACTCGCAGACACTACAGGGGGAAGGGTGAGATTACGTAACACATATGAACGTAAATGATTATCAAGGGGTGGAGAGACTACTGAAACATCCTGGACAGGTTGTAATTAACAGTGTAATCACATTACCAGTATTTCAACAAACATACTGATGGTTTTGCATGTTTAAGGACAAATTAAAGATACTTTAAGATTCATCCCGACCATGCCGCTTCTGGGTTTAAAAGCTCAATAAGTTATGAATACCAACTTGAAAAGACTTAAATTTGAGAAAATAACTCACTCTCCTGCACAGGTGAACATCGTGAACATCGGTACCATTGCTAGAGAGATGCAGGCAGCCTCCATGGACAACGTCCTAGCAACAAGTGTCACGGCAACGCTGCTTGCCTCTGATGGAATGTGAGTGGTGACTGACGTTTATAGAAAACACTAACAAGAACTTTTCAGGTTGTTATGTCTGTAAATCTAGCAACAATGAGGAGATAAACACCAAAATGCTTTTATGCTAACAGGTTAGCTTTCACTCCAGGCAGTCATTTGCATATAACATGGTGTATACTCAGTTTAAATACGCCAAAGTACTAATTTACTTCCTTTCTGTTCCATCCATTCAACTCTTTCCTGAGAAACGTAGCTTTTTAATGTTGATTTTTAATTCTCTTCTTCCTCTTTCTCTGCAGGTTTTTTCCCTATGAGGATGAAAACAATCACAAACTGGTGAGAGAGATAGGGAATGTGACCAAGGGGCTGGAGATCACCTTCGAGTTTGCTGTCAAACCAGAGTTTATGCAGGGTAAGACCGACTGTATACTCAAACGCAAACGACAAAACAACGTCACAGTGTGGGGACCGTCACCTGGCCACCTCACTAGTATGGAAGTATGGAACAAGCTGTTATTATAAGATATTATATGTATGTGTGTGTCAGTTTTCCTCCAGAAAGACACACTCCCATTCCAACTCCAGCTGAGCTTCAAGACCAGAGACCAACAGAGAGTCACTCGCATCATCACTGAACAGCGACCGGTCACCTCCTCCAGGTAAAAAAAACTCTACCTGCGCTTGCTGCGCTAGAACGCTAGAAGTTTAAGCTGCGTTTGTGTTGATTAGAGATAATTTATCTGTCTTCATCTTACCCCCTCTGTCTGTCTGAAGCCGGATTTGGGCCGGTAGTTTCAACATGTCGGTGCTCGGCGTCCACTGCGCTCAGCTCTGTGCCAGTTTAACCATGGAGGGTCGAGTGCAGGAAGCGCAGAAGCAACTAAAAGCACAGCAACACCTGCTCGAACAAATCAGGTATGAGTGTCTGACCTCTGAACTTACTGAAGTTACTGAAGTTACAGTCAGACATGCACATCTGGTGGTTAATGTAAGAGTGTTTGTGTGCTTCTGTGTGCGTACTGAGAGGTGGTTTTCACACTTCCTCTTTCTGCCTCGAAGTCAGCACAGGCCAATTCAAAAGCAAGAGTCTATCTATGGCAACTGGATGGACACCATGACAACAATCTGTGACATCACCACAGAGTCTCAGGTAATCATACGATTAATTTATGAACAAAGGCATATAATATAATTCATGTTCAAGATTTGAGATTTTCATTCCATTAACTGATGATTGAAGGATAATTTGTGTCATCAGCAGTTTGTCTTTAGTGAACAGAATGTCTCAAAAACTACAGATTCAGCCATGGGCCCTGAAACAAGGGAGTAGTTTTTAAGTGGAGATGTGAGCACAACAGCACCACCCTGTGGCCATTTAGAAGCACTTCATGTTTACTTCTGATTATGGATTATATACAGTGTATTTTTCGGCCTGATTGAGATAAACTGACCTAATATTCCCAAATGGTTTTAGGTATTCCCCAAGATACAAACAAAGATATCTTCTTTATGGCGTGTGTGCATTTTATATGTGTATAATATTAACATTATAGTGTGATCTGAAACATTAAATGTTAATTGTTCATTTTACATAAAGCATTTAAAGTGAGCTACATAGTACAGATTTATCAACTGTCCTCCCTGCAGACTCTCTCTGACGAAGCAGCTCAGGTGGTGTACGAGATGAGGAGAGCCAGCAGTGTCGGCAACTTCAGCAGCAACACAACCGAAGCCCAGAAGAAGCCTGCGAGGAAGAAGAAGAAGGCCCTCATGGAAGGAATGTAAAGAAGTCAGTACTGTAAACTCAGACGATCTGAAGTACAGTGGTGACGAACACGGTGCGAGGCGGAAGAGGATCATTTGTTATGGATAACTATAACTTAAAGGTTAACATGTGATTCTAAACCTTGAGGGTCTGACTCATTTTCCTCAGTGTGAAGTTGGAAAACAGGAAATAATATAAAATAAGTATTTTCCCATCAATAGGAGTTGCATTAGAAGTCAACAAGGAAGTGGTGGCCAAAGACTGAAAACAACACAAGCATAAATAAATAATATATCCAACCTGGGCTGGAGAGGAATTAAATTTCCCTCATGTGTCACACTCTTTGACTATATCGTAGCAGAGAAATTCAGCCAAACAAATCTGTATTATATTTATTTGGATTTCTGTTTTATAGGAAATATAATTAATGAAAAGGAACAGTACTACTTGTTTCGTCTCAAATAAAATACATTTTTAAAAAATGATTTTAAAGTCCTCCCTGCCTTTTTAATGTTGAAAATATATTCTGTATGAACCAATTATTGCTCACTTAATTATATTTGAACACTGCAGGATATGTAGGATACTCCATTTGAAATTCTTCTTATTCTTTCGGGTAATACCCTTTTTTTCTAAAGATCGAAGCATCTAACGCTGCACACACATTTGAAATAGTGACACATTTTCATTAGAATTATTTTACTTTGTTGTAAAAAGGATGTATAGCGGGCGCCGTAACCGCCCCTTCAACCGTTGCTGCTTAAAGTCCCTATTAATCCGTATCTTGACATACACCAGGTTCACAAAACAGCCTCTTTCATTGCTTGAGCGTTTTATTTTTGCATGAAGAAGAGAAGAGTTCACTCTTTACAATAAGGTTTTGCCAAAAAGCATTGTCCACACAGCACATCCAGTCTTCTCTTATTAAAGACACGAGGCCTAAGAGACAATCCAGCTCCTGTTTACATTGCTTCATTTCTTAAAAAGCATTACAGCAAAAGCATAAACACAAATATGTCTTTGTGCTTCCTCGCGGGTGCATCAGGCCACTGTGACAACTTTGCCGGTATTCAGGGCACAGACAGATGGAAGACTGCTGCTGCACTGCACATCATCCCAGCACTTGTTTCCTGTACGAAACAAGAACACAGGAGTCAATGAACGCCACAGAACCCAAAAGCTGAAACTGTTTACCGACACCAAAGTCACTTTGTCGGTCATCATTTATAATTTTAACAGCGTTTGTCACTTGAGATTTAAAAGTATATATCCAGATGCTTTTCTTTTATTATCCACACTATTCATAGAGAAAGCACTTGATACAAATAATGTGTGATTTACCTCCATAGTTCATTTGCAAGCAGTGCTGTCTCCACCAACGGTTGTCAAAGGTGCCACAGTGCATATAGTTGAAAGGTGTACCATCACTCCACAGCCAAATATTCTCCTACAAGACAGAGGAGAATTGAAAACTGTGTAAATAAATTAGTAAATAAATAATATTTGAATGAGAATAAAAGCAAGTTGGTATTGCCTACGTCTTGGCAGTCGCTGCCTCCAAGCCATGTTTGTGGAAACCCACGCGTGGCCTTCGATATCATCTTCTGAATTTTGCGATACTCGCCAGCGTTGTGCACAGATGCAAGGTGTCCACCTATGGCCTGGCAGTGTTTCTGTCGCGGAGATGAAGTGCAATTACCACAGAAAAATAACTTAAACATTAAAGAACGCTTGAAAAAAATATTTCTGAATCTGAATCAAACTTTTCCTGATTACCTCAGCTTTACCCCAAGACATCGAAGCTGAAATAAAGCGGAAACAGCGTCCTTTGATCGCAGTCCAAGCGATGGGGCAATATGTTGCCCTCCTGATCTGGTTTCTCCTTCCTGAAGCAAAATAGAGAAGAAATAAAGGCCCTGTATCTGGATAAACCCTTGTGATGGATGGCAATTTTGATCAGGCTCCATGCAACCTCACCTTAGATCTATTCACACACACACACACACACACACACACAAACGTTAACACTTACGAATCGCTCCGGTCAGAACCATCACGGTGCAAAGAAGCACCAACACAGCCAGCGTCTTCATGGTGGAGATGATGGAGATACTGAAGAAGATGACTACCCTCAATGAGGCAACAGACCAGTCTTCACTAATACTTGTGAGGAGAAGGTATAAAAGAGGTAAAAGAAAAAAGAAAAAAAAGCAGAAGAGGTGGAGTGAGAGAATTTATCTTCTCAGCATCAAAATCATCCACATAATGTGAAGACATGTTTTCTCACCACTAGCACTGCCCATGCTGATGTAATAGTGTTATATGCTCAGGTTTTAATGAAGGAGAAAGCATATCACCTTCATTGTATTAGGATCTGTATAAATTTAATTGAAGCTGCTCAAAATTTGAAAGAAAACATCTTATAACTACATTCACAGTTCTTTAAGGGGGAAATGTCTTGGTTAAAATCAAACAGGTCAACAGTGACTTAGTAAAAGATGTTTTTTTTTAATTTTTTTATACATATACTTATGCTACCAATGATTTAGCTTTATTGAAACCCACTTCTCCATACAGTTGCCAAGGTGAGAAACGTGCAGCAGCATGATAAGTGATGCTTCTCTTTTCTGTTGGTTTCACACGATGCTACTTCTGACAAAAACACTGGTATTGAGGATATTGGTTGGATATGCCCACATGAGTGTATCTACAAGCCAAATACAACAATCTTTTACATTGAAGGGGTTTTTGTAACGATTATTATGTTTTTTATTTTGGTAAACATGAGATAAAGAATTAAAACTTGTCTGTTTGTCTATGTCCTTATCACAGATTGTTATTGTCTCATGATTATTTAATTTTTTCCCACTTTACAGAACTTAGATTTGTCCAATTTAAAAACAATAAGCAACAAACAACAACAACCAGGTGCAATCACTCATTCCCAGCTTCTCTTGTTGTCATATAGACTCACAAGGTGAAAAATTGATTGCGCTGTAACAGGATCCAGCTGCAGACAAGAGGCAGCTACAGTACGACGTTAAACCAGGCTTAATCAAGACGTTTGCTGGTTCAGAGAAGGAAACAAGCCAGAGGAACCTGGTCAACAGCAGCAGATGAGGAAAAGGAGTTCAGGCAGGTAAATGGGCTTGACAAGAAACAGTAAGAACAACGGATCTTTCCCACAATCGAAACTCTGACGTGTCACAACAGGAAAAGCACAGGTGTAACTGCTCATAACATTAATGCCGTTTCTCATTTAGGCGTACCAATGACCCAGCATGGACAATTAAAAAACCAGGAACTGGAATCTTATTATTACTGGAATTGACAGCTGGTATTGTTTTCACCTTGTGAGTCTGTGAGTGTGTGTCATTGTGGCAAAATGTGGTTCTGGAGACACCTATATTGCCAGGTGTTTATATGTCAGTGGACAGATTTTGTCATCATGATAACAGTCGTGCAAGATACACCCACTAAACTTGTGCAGTGGCCTACATCCAAATGTAGGCCATGATCAAAGATGGGTGCAGTCCGTCTCAGCAGTTTGACAAAAGGTATGACTGTGTTTATTTTCAGACAGAATTATTAATGTGCAGCAGCTGAGGCGGGAATGAGTCACAGGTGTGCAGTGAAGGCAAACACACAGGTGAACCATGTGAAATCTTGACAGGTTAGATTTTGGCATATGCTCAAAAATAGTTTGGGTTCGAAGCCAGGTTCGGTCATTGCATCACCCCATTTTGTATCAGTCGGTGCAGGTACAGTTATCACCTGGCTGAGATTGAGCAACAGCTCTTACTGTGAGACAATAACATAAAGGTGACAGTGCAGAATGTACGAGAAGAAAAGTACGACTGGTACTGCAGATCGGGAGATAATTAAATGTGAAGGGAAGTTATCTGAATTGACATGAAGTGTAAAACAAGCAGATAAAAATACACCAAGACAGGACCAGTCAAGTGCTGTGGCGAAGTACAATTTCGAGTTACTTGTACTTTTACTCCGCTACATTTCAGGAGAACATATTTTAGTGTTTACTCAACTGGGTTCAATTTAAATAATAAAAATATCCTGCAAAATATAACGTAGTAAAATGATCTTCTTCAATTAATGCAGCAATGTATAAATACAATAATATACTATAATTTACTGCTATATAATTCAATATACTGTTGTCAAAAGCATTATAATAACACAATGATACTATATTGTGGAGATGAATCACGGAAGAAAAAAGAGAATCTGCATTTTCTACACAAGTGTAAAAGTGTAAAGAAGTGTGCAAAATTTAAAACATTCAATGAAATAATGAACATTTACTTTGACCAGTTCAGTTCTGTAATCCCAAATTTCCCAAACTAAATGAAGCCTCAGAATTAACTAGCATATTGACCTCTCACAAGAATAAATTAACTGTAAAAAACATAATTAATGTGCACATTTGTATTGATCTTGGTGTTGTTTGTTTCATTTTGTATGTAGTATTTTTGGAAATTGTATTTTGATGCTTTGGCAATATTGTTTTTCTCCAGCTGTCATGCTAATAAAGTACCTTTGACTTGCAGGATTTTTAGGGACATTTAGGGATAAAGTTTGTCAACAAATGGTTCTAAAAGCGATATATATTATATTATATATATTAGCTATGTTGCACATTAACAGGTGAAATTGACCAAAAACTGTCACTGTCCAGTGAATGAGTTGAGTTGAATGAATGATTCAGTGTTCCTCTATGGGCTGAGAAAATGATGCTACTTCCTAAGCCAAGTAAAACATTTCAAAAACCATGGGGACATCTTAACAAATACATTGGTTTTCTTACATTACCCATGAAAAGCTGCCATTTTGGAGACAGCTTCACAGGATAGCAAAAAAAAATTGACTTGTGTGAACGCCTACTATCAAACTAGCTATTTTTCTTTCGGTGTGCGTATTTGAAATCAACCAGAAAAATGTATCTGCATGTGCCACAGGTTGGAATTACTCAGGGACTGAATCAGCAGCATGGTTAAGGACAATGTTTTGTAACAGAAGCACAACATCCTGTTTGGGTACACGCTGTCTGTGCGTCCGCTTATCTCGCTCTGGGCGGTAGCGCATCATTAACCAAAAGGAATGGGAAACATGAAAAATGTGAGGTGACTCTGGCCTGAATAACTTGGCACAAACAAAAACACACAAGTTGAGCAAGGAGTTGAAAGTGAGCCGAAACAATGAACAAACATGCAGGTGGCAGAAAGCACATTTCTCACAGCTCTATATCGCTCGTGAAGATTCCTGGCACAGATGAAGGAGACGATAAGAAGAGATATTTTTATTATTCTCACAGTGTCCAAGCCACAGTGAAGTTGTTGTTGTTAAAGCTATTGTCCTTAAATTGCAGGTCGTGGTACAGTAACAGTTACGAAGACAGAAATAACAGCTGCAAGGTGAGCAGAGGAAAGAGATTGTTTTATTTTTATCTTGAGACAAAACAAGAACAAAACAAAACAAAACAAAACTGAAAATCATTATTTCTGTGTTTAGCTTCATGATGAGGTTGAAGACAAGCACATATATTATTTAATGCATCCTTAAAGGAGCTATTTGTAAGTTTTGCTAGTTTTGCTACATAGCTAACGTTAGCATTAGCAGCTGTTTACTTACCAGTTTATAAGAAACGTTGTGATTTAAGTATCAAACTTCCTTCCTTTATTCACCAACAGCTGTCTCCAGCAGTGGAAAGCAACACCAATGTTAAGTCTTCTCTCAGTTATGTATTTTCTTACTGAAGTTAGCACGCTAACCAGCTAACTTTCAGATAGCGAGTCACTGTACTCTTGAATCTGCCCCAAAGAAGTAGCGCTGCTCGCAGGGCGTATTATAACCTCTTGTTTTGTAAACGCAACGATGGCTGAAGCTCTTGTCAAGCCAAAGTCACCACCACCTGCTTCCGGCAAGAAAATCATGTTAAGCGGCAGAGAAAACTTACAAATAGCCAATTTAAAGGATTGGATTAGCTTATTTTAGCACGCACACAAAGGCTTGTTAGTTAGCTCATCTCCAAAACATAGCCACCTGGATTATATCAAAGCTAGGAAACAAACACCTCACATCAGCTAAAGTATTTTGATAGTTCAAGTTAATAAATCCCAAATTTAATGGGTAATGGATAGCAAATATTAGCTTGTAAGAAAATGTTAAACTAAAATGATGATCAGTGTGTTAGCATTGTCACTATTAGCATTGGCATTTTGTTTACAATGCCTAAATACAGCCTCATGGGGCTGCTAGCTTAATTTCTAGACTCCTAGCACTAGTTCAGACCAAAAACAAACGTGCACTGGAGTGTCGGGGACGTGTTATTGCTTCAGGAACTGCTCAGACAATGACATATGATCCAGGAAGTCCAGCTTCAGTTTTAGATCTGTGAATCTGAAGGCTCATCTATGCAAAAATGCTGAACAGCAGTTTAAAAAACACAGAGAAATGTTTTTATAAATCTGGAAATATATCAGTTTTATCAGTTTTCACATTATACACTATAACTGTTTCATCCATTGTTAATGAAAATATGATTAAAGCTTTAATATAGTGTTTTGTAAAATAACGACAAAATTGCTATTATTATCTTTACATTTCTTATGCAGTTCTTTTCATAGCTAAAGAAAGTCGATTAGCACATTGTTCCCATGACTCATTCTGAGGCTGAAACTCAAAACAGAAATGTTGTCGACAGTTTTAGAAATATAGGTTGCACATAGAGGCTGTTTGACCTACTCTCTGTGTATGTATCATTCTCCCACTTTAACCCGTCTTGCTGCATCGACCTGGCAAACAGGTCGATGCAGCAAGACTGGTGAGTGGGCGTGGTGTGACTTTCCTCTCCACGAGAAAGGAAAATCACAACCTTCACGCGTGCACATGCAAACCTTTATATTTCACAGCCTGAGAAGCAGACACACTTCATAAGGGAGTGTGTGAGTGATTAAGATAAGACCTCTAAAGATCAAGACACAATATAGATAACATTAAAAGAGTTTAGGTTCATCTCTGGAGCTTTTTGGATATACTTTAAAACCAGAAATAAGACGACAACCACATCAATTGTCTCACCTGCACTAAGGTATCAGCTTTTACTCTTTTATTTCATGTTTAAAGCTCATTCTGAGTATGTCAAGATGCAACAAACAATGACTTTAATATCTGATTTTTTCCAAACCAAAAGTCCAAAAAATTGTCAATTTACACTGATATGAAATAAAAAAAAGAGTAACTTCACATTCGAGTGGCTGGAACCACAGAATGTTTCCTTGTGCCTCAAAAATGACAGAAAGTTTTCAATTATTTTTCTTTTGATTGACTAATTGGTCAATCGACTGATCTTCTGCATTTCTTCATTGAAGCTCCTCGTAAAAATGTATTTCCTAAAACTCCAAAATCATCATCATCCCAAAGAACCAGGAGGAAGGAAGCCAATTTTTATTTTTAACCACTGAGATAAAAGGTTTTTAGAGCCTAAAAATAAAATGCTCAACCTTTATTCAATATATTCTCATGTGGTGCTTCAGTCAAGCATTTTATTGTGAAAGGCTCTTTAGTTTACACTACGCTCTCATTGTTTCTTTTATGAAGTTGTGAGGAGTGTGTTCTGTGGCTAGTTACACATTTTAATGATGTTTTATGTGCTTGCTTTTGTTTAGTAATCACTTGGCTGCACACCAACTTCCTTCAGGGTAAAGAAGCTCAAACACCTTACAGAAGAATTTAGAGGCAGGTACAGAGAGCTGGTGAAAAGGTAAAACCCCCACTCTTTCTAACCTGTAAAGGAGACTGTTGAGGCCAATTCTTGCATCTCAATTGACAATAAAGCCGAACTGTCAGTTATTGTGGACGTGTGTTGTTGTACACGGATGTCATATAAGCAGTGTGTGTTTGTGTTTGTGTTTACAGAGCAGCATTTAAACTTTTAATTAAAGGGGAACTCCACTGATGTTACACATCAGAGTCAGTTCACGGGCCTTTGGGAGGAGGCTACTGTTGCGTATGTGAAAGAAATGTTGTATGAAGCCAGAAGGAGCTGCGGACGATCTGACTTGTTGCCTCGGGTTGGGACTGAAGAAGTTTGAAAATTAAAAAAGAAAATCTGAGGTTGTAGATTTAGAAAGAAGTGCGCTAACGAGACCTCTGTCGCCCACTCATTATCTCTGCTTGAGGCTACATTACACATGTGTCTTTGGTCAAGTTGCATTTTGGGTAATGTAGGCCCCGGGTTTTGACAGAGAAGAAGAATGCCTGCAAAAACTGAACTTTCCATCATGAGACAATAATGTAGGTGTGAATTGCTGTTACTGAAAACGAGCCACTTGCACTTGTAAACAATAATCAATACTTGCATACATGTGGTAAAATCATTATTATTTTAGGTTCTATTGTGTCTTTCTTTTATTTATTTTTCTAGTATCTTTTAGTTAATGATTATTATGCTTCGACTGTGTGGAATTTTACTTACTCTTCTTGGGTTTTCTTCCACACCCTCAGAACAAACATCTGTACTGTATGTGTTAGCTCTAATGGACATGTAAACTATCCTTGGCACACCATGGATCTGACCCAGAGCATGCTGGGAGAGTCTCCAGCTCCCCAGAGAGTGGATGCACGGAGTAGATAATGGAGAAAAATAGATACTACTGTGGATAAATTTATACTTGTGGTATCAGAAGCTATTTAATGTGCACTTCCCCATTAGAATCAAGTGAAATGTCACCTGTACAAACATGTGTTTATATGTGCTGTACGTGATAATGCAGGACAGAATCTCGCCCTGCTTCATTCCTAGACAATCCTTATCTGATTTGTGGCGACGAGGAAAATATATGTGTTATATAATGTGTCCATCTATCAATCATGACTTCAGCTCTTAATAATAACTTCCTTCACTCTACTTTCCTTCCCGTTCACCTCCTTTACTTTCTCAGTCATGCCACACTTCAAAAAACAACACACTTCATAACATTACCACTTTGTTTTGATTGCATTGGCCTGTCCATGCAACGACAGATAAACGGCTCCTTATGTAACAGTTTTAGACAGTTTCACTGTCACTTAAAAGGTCAAACATGACACAACCAAGCAAGCAAGACAGTGATGAATTACCTGTATTTAAAGCCTCATCGGTGGTGTGACAGAAAGTAAAAAGTTTGTCCTGAGGTTGACGACAGAGTTCAGGTCGAGGGGTTATGCAAGTAAAAAGGGTTTATCCCCTGGAGAGCATCAATATGTCGACCAAAGTTTGTGCAAATCTGCGCATTTCATTTTCTTTTCGGTCTCAAACTGTTCTGGGTCGCCAATGTAATGAGGATTCATCCCTCTGGGGACCATGAACGTGTACAGCTAAATTAATGGAAATCTGGCAGTTTGAATTAATGACATAATTAATGACATAACATCATGATCAAATGTGTTGGTTAATTTTAAAATCAAACGTGGGACGCTTCGGTCTTTGTGTCTTCACACAACCCTCGACAGATTAAACATCGTTGGAAAGTTCCAAGTCTCCCGGTTCTGTCTGTGCAAAGCGTTTTAGGATCATATCACTGCAGCAGCTTTTATACAGAATGTGTTCAGACTTGACAACACATAAACGGGACAACGGGTGAAGTTGAATCTGTTTTCTTGAGACCGTCCAAACAGATCTGATGGTAATCTGCCCCCCCCCCTGCAGGATGTCTTTATGTGGCAGTTTTCTGTCTGACGAGCAGTTCCAGTGCTCCATCTGCCTCGATGTGTTCACCAACCCTTCAACCACACCGTGCGGCCACAGCTTCTGCATGGCCTGCATCAGCAGATACTGGGACGGATCCAAGGTGTGTGTGAGTGTGTACACTGTGAAGTTTAAGATATGGTGTACAGGTGTCCTTTTTTTTTATCTTGCTGTTTACTTTCTTCCTTCTTTTCTTCTTTTTGTCCTTGCCCATCCTTCTTTCTTTGTCTCTCTTGTGGTCACTATTCATGTATTGCATGTGTGTTATAGGACTTTCTTATCATCACTGTTTTTATCTTTAATGTAGCAGCATATATTTTGATCACACTAACCATCAGTTTCTCTAAAATCCATTCATTCATCCATCCTTCCTTTCTGGTCCACGTTACCTCTCCTCTCCTCCTCCCTCCTCTCCTCTCCTCTCCTCTCTCAGGTGTGTCAGTGTCCTCTGTGTAAGAAAACCTTCCAGAAGAAGCCGGACCTCCACATCAACAGGACGCTGCGAGAGATCACCGAGCAGTTTAGATCCATGAGGGGAGCTGGAGTCGTGGGGAGGGAGAGGAGAGGGGGGAGAGGAGGAGGAGGAGGAGGAGGGGGAGGAGGAGATGGAGCGTTACCAGATGATGTATTTGATGAGCTGAGGAGGAAGCTGCCTCAAACTCTACCAAAGCCGCCAGTGACGCTGACCTATGAGGCTCAGTCCCAAGGTGAGACAGACAGACGTGTCCTCCTCTTCACCTGCATGAAAACAGACTGAAACTTCACAAACACACTGATAATAATCACAATAATAATATGGATGATTATTTACAAGTTTCACAAAAGGAAGGAAATTACAATCTAAAATTTATAAAAATCATCAGGTTTTATTATAAAACAGACAAAATAAGTCCAGTGATGTAGGATATAAGATTTGATTTACGTCACAAATATGTTGATACTGAACTACTAGACAACTTAACTCCAATACCAGCACTTAATCTTATTTGTTTTTATTAAATTACATTTATTCTAATTTGTTTTGTATTTTATGCCTTGTACGTGCATTTTATCTTTTAGTGTGTGTTGTAATGTATTACTATTATTGTTTATTATTATCAACCAAACTTGCAGTCCTTGCCTAAGCCCAACCGCAGGTGGAGCTGTGGGTGTGAACCCCGGTCTCTGACTTTGAATGCTCACAGTTCACCCGACCACATCCTGGTGACTGCCTGCTCTTAATAAGTGTCATGTTTAATTCAGTCCTTCCAAGAAAGAAGCTTTTGCACAGGTGTTCTTGTTCCTGCAGAGGCTGGATGCACTTGCTCCACGTCCCTTCTGCCAAATTGATGTATGTAATGTAATTAATTTTGCACACAAACAACACTGACAGCCTGAGTCATAAGACGCTGGTACTTCAAGAATCCGTACTCATTCATCAAACACATGGCAGTGCTGGATGCTCTGGTGCTCCAGGTCAACTGTCAGAGGACTGAATGTGTTGGTTCAGTGGAGCAGTGCTGAAAAATGAGGTCAACATCCAGTCGGCTCGGTTTATTAACATTCTGCAGATGACGCACGACTGTCCTGTCAGAGATATGCTGCAGAGATAGCAGCAATCTGTTACAGGACAAACAGGCTGCAGACATGACAGCAGGTCTGTGAATGTTAATGCTGATGTCAGCATGTTAACACGTGTAGGACATATGTAAGTTCAGGATGTAAGAATGCTAACGCTTGCTAAGTGGAGGCCGATGCGAATGTCATTAATTCTGCAGGAGTTTGATTATAAACCAAATTGAAGGGATCATGACAGTTGGTGGGATTGGTTCTCTGGGGACCATGAATGTCTGCACCAAATTTCATGACAATCCATCCAGCAGTTGTTGAGATATTTGTTGTTTATGTTGGACTGAACAGACGCTGATCGACTGAACCGCCACTGAATCTGGAGCCTAAAAATAAATGTTGTTTTTTTATATTAAAGAGGCAGTAAAATAAAAAGATTCACTGTAAACCATTTTAAAATGGTTCAACCTTCTCTCAATCCCTGTGTCCTCCATCTTGGAAGGTAACTCCATCCCAATGTCGTTATCACCCACCACGACCTCACTGGCTTCTTCGGTACCGAACAACAGTCCGATCGCTGCCCTGAACCACTCCTCCGGACCTCCGCCGCCTCCTCCCTCATTCTCCCACTCCAGCGGCCGGAGAAGGTTCACCGTGAGCGGGGCTGCAAGCAGCCAGAGCCTCCCTCTCTGTGAGATCCACCACAGAGGAATACTGGTACCACACTTTTACCTACATCATAAACGAATGTCTTTCATTTAATACTCCTGCGGCCCTTTTTGTTTGAAACTCAACAAACTTATTATTATGAATTATTGAGGAATATGTGAGAATACTGCATGACTTTGTGTCCTCTTGACACCTCTTGACCTTTTATGTCTCTAGATTTACTGCAGGACTGACCGAGTGTGTATCTGTCCTGAGTGTGAGACCGAGGACCATCAGGATCACGACACGGTGACTGTCGAAGATGAGTGGACGGAAACCAAGGTAAAGAAAAGAAAACAGAGAGAGGGATGAGGGACAGACTGATGGAGTGAATCCCTCGAGCTTCAGGGAGTTTACTCACATGACAAAGAGGAAGAACAGCACGAAGCCTGCCATTGTTGACATGTGACATGTCTGGAAATCTGAGTCAGACAAGTCAATTTAATGACATCACAGTCTGGAGGTTTTCCAGCAAATACTGTGAATTGTGTTTTGTAGAAAACTGGAGAGGGAAATTTCAAATTCGCTGTTTTGTCTTTGAGATTTGTTGGTTTTAAGAAATTGTGTGTGTGTGTGTGTGTGTGTGTGTGTGTGTGTGTGTGTGTGTGTGTGTGTGTGTGTGTGTGTGTGTGTGGGTGTAGTCACAGCTAAGTGTGTTGGAGCAGGAGATCAAGGAGATGATCAGACAGAGAATCAGGAAGATTGAAGAGCTCCGAATGTCAGTGGCCGATCTGGAGGCAAGTCTCTCTCTCACACACACACACACACACACACACACACACACACACACACACACACACACACACACACACACACACACACACACACACACACACACATTCTTTTAAATATTAAACCTTTGTGGGAAAACCTGTAAATCCTCCTGTCATCCAATTATCAGCTGTTTATCACAAACACGGATGTTTTTACTTTTATTTCCCGCTCCTCTTTCACCCACATTTTTAAGGTGGGGTTTATAAGTGACTTCAAGGTTTTAATTCCTTAATATGGGGGATTTATTTCAAGAATTCTTGGGGTTTCACTCAAATGTTTTACAAAGTTTTGGGGCTTCACCCAAATTTCTAATTTTTTTGGTTTATTTCCAAATTTATTAAGGATTTGACCAAATATTCAGGGCTTTAGCCAAATTTGCATAAATATATACCTGACTTTTGGCACTGTGCATTTCTGTTATTACTGCATCTTTTCATCTGTTTTGGGTGTTACACTCCATGCAGATAATAAAAAGAAATCTCACACATTTCACATTTTCTCTCCCCAGTTGGCGGTGGAGCGAGAGACAGCAGGAAGTGTCGGAATGTTTTTCGCACTGGTGTCTGCCATTGAGCGCTCCCAGGCAGAGCTGATGGAGGTGATGGAGATGAGTCGGAGGGCGGCCGAGCACCAGGCCGACGCCATGATACGTCAACTGGAGCTGGAGGTCGAAGAACTGCGGAGGAGAGGCAGCGCCCTCGCCGAGCTCGCCCAGTCTGATGACCACAATCACTGTGTCAAGGTCGGTGAGAGTCTCAGGTTCAGTTTGATGATATACAGATCATTTTTCTGGGTCATTTCTCACCCTTTTATTTATTTCCACCTACTTTCCAGACGTTCCCCGTCCTCTCCAGCCCTCCACCTGCCAGAGACTGGTCCGGAGTGGCGGTGAACTCTGACCTGGGAACAGGGACCATCTACAGGTCTCTGGCAGCGCTGGTGGAGAGGTTCCAGGAGCAGCTGAAGAATATCGCAGAAACAGGTCAGTGACTTGCAAAGCACAGAGCACGGGACAGAGAGATCTGACTGGTCGAGCTAATGAGTCTCGAGTATGTAGAAACATGAGAAAATGGTCGCTCACTGAGGAGTTTTAAACTAAGAGCAGCACCACAACAGACGCGTCATGAAGCATAGAGTTAGCGCCCTCAGGTGGAGGAGTTCATTATGGTTTTTAAACCAATGCTTTCTCTTGAGTTTTTGTTTTCCAAGGTTATAATTCCCTAATTTGGCGCATTTACTCCATAACTATTGGAATTTTATTCAATGTTTTCTTTTTCATTTCACAACTTTTCAGTTTTTTTTTTTGTTGTTGATCCATTTCGTCTCGTTCCTATCCAGGTTTTCCTCCCGCTGTGGTGGAGCCCAGTCCGGTCCGAACACAGCCCAGTGAGTGTCCACTCCCGCTCATACACACACCGGTGAATGATATCTGCCATCCACCTTACACAGTAGAGATCCAGATACACACACCGGTCGTGACACTAACCTTACACACTTAATCACATACAGTAGTTTTTACTGTATTACTGAAACACTTCTGCTTTCTCTGCAGGGATGAGGAGGGTACAGGAGTACGCAGGTATGTTACGATCACACAAAGCGAATAAAAGGAGTCGACACACAATATATTTAGATGTTGCTAAACAAGAATCTGTATCTTTCTATATTTTTCTTCGACACAGTGGATGTAACGCTGGACTGCAACACTGCCCATCCCAGACTGATTCTGTCAGAGGACATGAAGAGTGTGAGACGCTTGTTAAATTATTATAACACACATAACATAATAATTAATCATACAGACTGGAACTCTTTTTACAGCGTATAAATCCCTCAGTCCGAGGGTTCAAGCTCAAGAATTCGAGAATATTTGTTTTAAAATCAAGAATAAAATTTAGGTCTGCTACTGGTTTTTGGTAGGAAAAGTAGTTAGGAGCTTTTTCGTGTTTGCATAAACCACGTGGGAGCACTATGTTACAAGAATATACACAGATATGTTTCAAAATGTTTGGCAGTATGAGTCGCTCTGACCTCTGCTTCAAGTCCCGCAGATTTACTCTGAACTTGGAAAATCTGCCTTTAGTATTTGTGCACCAAGTACGAATTATCGACGACACACTCTCAGGATCAATTCAAGACGATGATCTCTAACCCCTTCACCTCAGTGTGCAAATGTTGTCACAGAGTATTGTCCTCTTTTGGATTTGAACTCTGTATCTGTGTGTATATGATCTTCAAGGCTTAAATGAAATGAGCACCTGTCTGTAAAAGTCCGGTTTTGATAAAGTGTCTTTCTGCAGGTGAGGTGTGGAGACAGACACCAGCTGCTTCCAGACAATCTGGAGAGGTTCGACAGAGTCGTCTGTGTCCTGGGGAGGGAGGCCATCTCCTCCGGGAGACACTATTGGGAGGTAAGATGATCTCCTCAGTAAATAGTTATTAATCAACCCTAAAAATGATCTTGTCTGCCTGTTAATTTCCTGGAAATATGTGTATATACTGCAAACAATGTCCAATATTGGCTGCAGAAATAACAAATATCTGGTGTGTGCAGTGGTGTAAAGATGATATTATTAAATCTGTATTTTCATAATGAGCATATTTTGAAATATTTTCTTACTTTTTGATCTCGAAAATAAAGATCGTATGTTCATATGTGTCCATGTTTGATCATATGTTCTGCTTCCTGTGGAGGTGGAGGTGGGTGGGAAGACGGACTGGGATCTGGGGGTGGCCAGGCAATCAATCAACAGGAAGGGGAAGATTGACGTTACCCCAGTCAATGGATACTGGTTCCTCAGCCTAAGAAACAAGTGAGTTTTCAATTAGTCATCAGTTAATTGTCCAAAATGTGACACGTTTAATTGATAGACTTTAACACAAGGATTCAGATGGACATTTCAAAGTTTTTGACGGTCATTAAAAAGCAATTGAAATGTAGATGATGATGATGGGATCTAGGATATGGTAGTAAAATATCAAAAAAGAGAGAGACAACATAACTATAAAATGACCACCTGGTAGAAAATATGGCAGACATTTAATTCTTTTCTTCTTTTTGTTCTTCTTCCTGTATTTCACTCTTCTTTACTTTGTCTTCGTTCCTCACCTCAGGAACAAGTACGCCTTTCGCACCGAACCCTCCACAGACGTCCATCTGAGCCTCCAACCACATAAGATTGGGGTATTTGTGGACTTTGAGAAAGGACAGGTACAGTATGGGGAAAAAAAAATATTTGACATAACTTGACTTGACAGTATTTTACACTCACTGTATTTTCTGTTTTCTAATAATACCAAATGTCGTCCTTTTCCTCTACAGGTGTCGTTCTACAACGTTGATGCTAAAATCCACATCTACACTTTCAATGACACTTTCACTGAATGCATCTTGCCGTTCTTCAGCCCTTGTACTAATAAATCCGGAAAGAACGACGGGCCGCTGATTATCACACCGGTAAATACGATAGAGTGACGGAAAACACCTGAAAGTTACTTGTTGTTTCTTCTTCTTCTTCTTCTTTTACATACTCATGCACTGAGTGTTCCTGTAAAAAGAAAAATAATCCTTTTGGCAGATGTTGGTCTCTGACTGTGAATAGTTTATATAGGTGGAACATTTTGATGTATCTTAAATGATTCACTGATCATTTAATAAAACAATCACATTTTGCGACAATCTGCATGTCTGAATTTGAGCATTATTTCTGTTGTCATTACTTCAGGATTGAATTTAGAGGAACAGTTTGACTTTCATTCTCTTGCTGATAGTTTGATGAGAAGATTGATACCTTACTTGCATATATGTACATAAAAAATGAAGCTGTAGCCTTAGGCCTGTTAGCCTAGCTTAGCATAAAAATTGGGAGCAGAAGGAAAAACAGCTGGCTCTGTCCCCCTATCTCTACCCTAAGATAAGCAAACTGGCTGCTGACACAAGAGTGGTATTGATCTTCTTGTTTAACTCTTGGCAAGAAGGCAATTAAGCGTATTGATGAAGAGTTTTAAGTTTGTTCATTATAAATTAAAATACTGTAACCAAAAAATACCACAAAAAGAGAAAATAGTTAATACTGCTTTTATTTTAGAGCATGATTGCGGGCATGAAAGTAGAGCATTGAAGGTGATTTTCTTGAGATGACTACTGTTATTAATATTATTTTAGTAAATTTTGTATTTGCAACGTATCTGAAAGTTTATTTCATGTAAAAGAGGTTTGTCTTTCAGTGTACCAGTTATTTTCCTCCCAAAGCTCTCTGCTGTAGTTCTACTGTTTGAACACCAGGGGGAGGAGTTGTTATGTCTGTGGAGAAACACAGGAAGGTTCACTGCTCTTGTCTCTAAATGAATCAGCAGATGCCTCCATCTAATAACACACAAACCCAAACTCAAAATGTTTGTTTCTACTAATAAAATACATCAGAATGAACGTTGTAATTTATGATAATATATAACTCGCAGGTGACTTTTATTTTCTTATTTTGCAGAACAAGTGCAAAAAAGTACTTCTGTATTTTTACTTAAATAGTATTTTGAATATAGGACTTTTCCTTCTAATGCTTTATTTATACATTTTTGCACTGATACTTTTTCATAAGTAAAATATCTGAGGACTACCATTGTTCATTTCTGAATGCTTCATCATCCTTCTGTCCTCCCCTTCTCTCGTAACCACCAGATATACACCCTGTAAATCAGCACATTGACAGAACACACACCTCCTTTTAGCACATTGGTATACAAGTCATTTTGTTAGGAAGCTTTAACTGCTGCCATTTTGGTTTTAACATCATGACCTCTAGCACACATATGCTTAGCGATGTGTTTAAAAATGTAAACATCATATCTGTCAGAAACATGAATATGCCCTCATGTTGATTACAGATTCAGATAGAGCCTCGGGTCATGTGTGCAGTGGCAGTCGTATGTCTGTAAAACAAACAAAAAGCAAAAGCATGAACATCAAACTGTCTCGTCGCTCTGGTCTTTTATTGTCTGTAGACCGGATTAACTGCAACATTTCAAGTAGCAGTAACTGAAAACAGCATCAAGTGCAGGTGTGTCTGTGACTGGTTTCTACTAAAGACGCAATTCTTACATGTATAGTTTCAGTTATTTAAAAACAAAAATAACAAGGTGTTTCATGCAAATGAGGAAAGTGATTTTTGCCTGACAGTTATTCCCTTTGGCGTGTACTTTGAGCTTTGTGACTTTGTAGATTAATTACTTGCACAAAAAGCAATAGGGAAAACTCAGAAAAAGCACAATAGATTCGCTTTAATTTTAATTAAATTAGCTTTTCTTGCTAAAAACCAAGTTCAGTTAATCACTTTCCCCCAGTGTCTTTAATGCAAAATACTCACCTGACTGTCTAAAAGAACGTTTCCTCTGCGTGTGCTGTCCCCACGTAAACCTGTTCACAAAGACACAGTAAAAGGTTAAAAACCTTCCTCTGCTGATACACATTTCACATAACACCTCCAGGGTAAAGTTTCCTATTCCAGGAGGAATGTAATACAGCCAGTGATAATGAGTAGTTGTGTGACAGCTGGAGAGAGAAGTTCATACCCTGCAGGTGCAGTTCAACAGGGGCTCCTGTTTAAATGATATTCACTAAAAACTGCAGTTCTCAGCTGCTTTTTAAAGTTAAATGATGCTAATATTAATACCGCTAAAGCTACTCATACTACAAATAATTATCAATATTTAGGCGACATTGTAGTAACTCCTTTCAAGCACCTTTGAAATGGCTGTGCATCTATAACGACATGCAAATCTAATAGCCTTGGATTTACTTTTATTCCCCACATTTGCAGCTCATTGGTACTTCCTCTTTTTGGCTTCCCTACTTCCTGCTACTAATCCCAGCTGAATCAGGACTGCATTAATTTCCCTAATCACAATGGCAGGAGGAAGGTGTTTGATGGCTCCAGGGCAGAAATTCTCCATTTGACTACCACAACAGCATCTGTTAGCCCTGCTCCTTATCTCCGTCCCCTTCAGTAAACCTTTCCCGCCTCATTTACAAGTAGTCAAATTACCAACAACCAAATCACACAGTCATTGTGGAACATTTGGGGCATTCATGTGGGCTGGGAGACAATGCTGCACTCTTTAAAGCCTCCTATTTAATACTCATAAGCAGTATATGAACATCTAATCAATGGTTTATAACACACTATACTGTAGTTGTAAGCAGATTCATTGTGTGTGATCTAATATTTATAGTAGCAACAAATAATACTTCCTGTCATCTGTAAATGGTTGTATGGATGATGATGGTGCACAGCTTTTGTAAAAAAAAAATAAAATAAAATATATATATAAATTGGGATTTATTTTCCTAATGTAAATATCAATTCAGGTCAATTTCATGCTGAAGAAAATGTATTAAAAGGAGGGTTTTGACCGGAACAGTCTGAGCTAAATATGAAGCTGTAGTCAGGAGGCAGTTCTGCTGGAGGTAAGTGCTCGCTTTGTTAGACATGTTGGTTTCTCCCTATAATAAAGTTATGGTCTTGACCTTACCCTGTAAAGTACCTTGAGATAATGTATATTATAATTTGGCGCTATACAAATAAAACTGAATTAAATTAAATTCATTTCATTTTTACTTTACAGGTACGAGAGTGGTACAAAGGCAGCAACGCACCAAAACATCGAACTGTTGCTGTATAGGATCAAAAGTTTGTTTGTTTCTGCCGAGTTGACAAGAGCAAGACTTTCAATCGTCTCCATTGGTCAATTATTCACACGACAAAAATCACTTATTCCACTTTGTTATTAATGTGAAGAGTGAAATAAAATAAAAAATAAAATAAAATTTAAAAAAAAAATCACATGAATGAATCAAATGACAAGTAAATATTCCTACAAAACAATCACCCAAGCATCATTTAGGAAGACAGAAAAAAAACAACAATGGAAGAAACAGAACTAACAGCACAAAGAATTACATATTGCCATTCATAGATCAATAAATACAGCACACACAGGTTATTATTTCACTCACTGAGCAACTGTAGAAATGCAGGACCTGCATTGTATGAAACCACCTCCCCATTGTTCACCGAAACAACAGGTAATCAGGCCACCGACTAATCTCTCAACAACCAGCAACTGCAATCTAATTCCCATTAATCTTCCAATTAAGAACCGGAAGGTTGCGAAGCAGCAGCACGCACTGAATCACAGAGTCGATACCACTCTATCTTGTCTGGTAATATAAGGCCACAGCTAGCTCCTGTTAGCTTAGCATCAAATCTGGAAACAGAGGGAAAGAGCTAGCCTGTAGTGCGCTAATTAATAGCGTTATAGTGTTGTTTGTTTGGTTGGACGAAAACAGGAAGTGTAAAAACATCAAGTTGAAAGAGCCACGTTAGCTTCTCTCCTCTCTGGTTCCAGTGTTTATGCTAAGCTAAGCTAAGCTAACTAGCTGCTCGTTGTAGCTTCACGTTTAGCGCACAGACTTGAGAGTGGTATCAATCTTCTAATCAAAACATCAGCAACGCATTAAAATGTTGAACTTTTCCTTGAAGCGGTAAAAACAAGGGGCGACATGACCGGGACAAACAGATTTCCAAAGATGTACAGACTGATACATAACTTTTTTTTTTTTTTGGACATTCACTATTTTGATTTAAAATGCTTCCCCTTATAAATACCAAGACATCTGAAATATTTAAAAGCTGTATCTTTCATAAAACATCGGCAATAATAAATTCAACAGAGATCACACCCACTGGAGGAAACCCAAGTTACATGCATTTAAAAAGAAAATATCTTAGTTTCTGTTTTACACTTGTTTACAAATAACAAACCTTACTGTTGCTGTGTGTTAGTCGTTGTAAAAAGACAATAGCAGCAGTTTCTAGTCTAGTGTTTTGGGTTGTGCTGTCGTGGTGATCCTGTTGTTTACATCTGGACTCTTCTACATTAAACCAAGGCTGATTAACTCGATTAACTCTAAATTGAAAGAATCTCACATTTTGAAGCCGACAAAGAAAAAATTACCGACAGGAAAACTTCCATTGAGACGTGTTAACTGTTTTAAATTCTAACTTCGACTCTAAATTATGCATGTCATATGATATTTTAATATTCTTCATGCACATGTGCATTGTTTAATAACCTCTATTATTTGTGCACGGACTGCAGTAAAACCTTTCAATGTGGAGTTGAAGTTGAGTCAGAAGCTGCTGTTGTCGATGCGGTCCTGCTTCATCTGAGCCTTTGCTTTTTGTTTCTGAAGGAGAATGTGCTCGGCAAACTCCCTGACGGCCCCCAGTCCCCCGACTTTGTGGCAGGTGTATTTTGCGGCGTTGATGGCGACCGTTGGGGCATCTCCAGGTACTGCGCTCAAACCCGCCAGGTTCAGACACTTCACATCGGGTTTATCGTTACCTGAGAGGAGACAAGAGGAAGCGGGGGAAGACAGAGATATAAATGAACAGCAGCATAATAATAATAATCACAAAATAAGCATAATAATCTAAGCTTTTGTTAATTTTCTGTAGATGACCGCTTTACCCATGTACGCCACATCCTTCCACTCCAGCTTCTTCTTCTCCACTACCAGCTTCAAATCGTTCAGCGGTTCCTCTCCCACCTCCATGACTTCGCAGCCCATCCTCTTGGCCAGTTTCTCCGCCAACGACTTGGTCACAGGGTCCTCTCTGGACGTCAACAGCACGACCTGGTGGAGGGAAGACGGACGGTTAGTGTGAGCGACGAGGCGCGACTTGAGCCGAATTCATTTCTACGCAGTTGAAAAGTCCAACCTCCACTTCTTCCCCCTTCAGCATCCGGATGCCCATGGCGTCTCTGGTGTTAACAGACACCATATCCTCCCCGGACACCGACAGAAAGATCCTTCCTTCTGTTAAACATCCGGAAACGTTGCAGAACATCAGCTGAACCACCTCCGGCGTGACCCGACCGAAGTAACCGTACCTGCAGGAAGAAGCACGGAGTGGATGAGAAACGAAGGAGGAAATGGAACGACAAAAATACACACGCCTGTATGCAGAGTATTAGTTCTCAACTACCAGTGCATGCCAACATAAACACAAACAGACAAAGGTGTGTACAGATGCGGAAGCAGGGTAGGGCTAAAAACAAGTTCAGGACAGGTTGATAGGAAAATTACTTTTTAAAAAAGACAGAAGAAAGATCAACTCAAAGATCTGTCTCTCACCTGAGAACCCTCTGCTCTGCCACAGGCCAGTCGATGTCCACGTCTATGTCCACGCTGTACTCCGGCAGCATCTCATAGTAGCCGATCTTTCCACCCTGGAGACAGAGACGAAACAACAGATAGAGACCAGATACAGCTGCTGGAGACACGTGATAAAATGCGCTGGTTACTTTTTTTGCATAACTGAAATTAAACAAATTAACTGTCCAGACTGATTACCTGCATAAGACCTTTGTTCATGAGGAGATCTCTGGTGGCGAAATAAAAGGAGCCATTCTCACACAGCTCGCCGTCCCAGTCCTGGCGCCGTGGCCGGTTGGCTGTGTCCAGGTTGAACGGCTTGGTCATTTCATCAGCTAGAAGGAGGCAGAGTGCGGGGTTAAAAGTGCACTCTTTACAATACACGGCTTCACCAAACATCACGCTGCTTCCACAATTTATTTTTTCACGTCCTGGTCCCTCCGGACACTTTTGGAAACGCTAATTTTCTATCACATCTTTTCCAAACGTCTCCAAACTCCACAGTTTTATAAATAAAAACTGGACGTCCAAAGTCCAAAGTCTCCACTTTAGGCGCCAGGAGTAAACGTAGCACAAGCGACGCGAGCTAACACTAAAACATATTAGTGTGGATGAGGCCAGACTCTGTCTGCAGCCATGCCAGCAACTCCCTGAGGTTGTGCTGAATGCAAACAGAAGCGAAGATATGGGCATGAAGGGAATCATCTCTTTGAATAAATATGTGGCCAAGGGCAGATGATGTCTCTTTAGGGTTCATTTCAAGATATACTGATAGTGTGGTCGCCATGTTTACCATGTACTCCACACGAAAAGTAACACTAATTAACAATTTAGTATAAGATCATAAAATTAAAAAGGTTAAAGGTTCTTAATTGATCATTACACAAAGAATAGTTGTGTTTTTACTGCAGCCTGTTTGACACTGATGTTGATATTAGAGAGTTTAAGAAATCTGTTCTGAACAAAAACAACAACAATCTTGAAACACGTCTCATAGATTTGTGTCTTTAAAGAGTTGTGACACAGACACACGCTGAGCGGGACATGTTACAGTTTGAAAAAAAACAACCAAAAAACTGTTTAGAAATGAGCTCAGACCCAGTTCCTGTGATGCAATGTCTTGTTACTTAACAACCAACATAAAAAGCGATAGCAGTGTATTTGCAATAAGCAGGTATGGGCTGATTTATTGGGCTGACTGACTCATCAGTTGAACTCTTTTACACTTTAGTGCTTAGACGGATTCAACAAACAAGTTTTTATGTGCTGTGATGAATGAACCGCAGAGGTGCTGCCAGCTGTAGCGTCAAAGCATTTGTATTATCATGCAGTCAAGATATGGTATCTCTGTTCTCATCTAACGCTTGGCAGCAGTGCAGTAGTGTGTTCTCATTAGATTCGGCTGCAACAAAAAAACGGTTATGGCTTTATGTTTTTACACAAACTAACACCTGATAAGGAAAAACTGTTATAACCCCAGGCTGATGTAATTACTCAAACTCGGTTATACGAATCAAACACACAGAATTCAGTGAACAGTGACTCTTCTTTTGTTGGTGCTTCTGTAACCAATGGCGACGAAAGTCTCTGTCACGGAGACGGAAACAGAACTAATACCTGTTCTGCTGCTTTCACAGTGCAGAGCAGGGAATCGGTCACACACACACACACACACACACACACACACACACACACACAAACACACAAACACACAAACACACTCTAACTTTAGGTTACAACCCTGTTTATCCACAATCATATAAAATATGAACCATCTGTGTGAAGTCTCGAGTAATGGCTGAGTGTTTTCTGATGTGACCTTTGACCTCCAAAATCTAATCAGTTCATCCTTGAGTCCAAATGGACATTTGTGCCAAATTTAAAGAAGGTCCTCCAAAGCGTTTCTGAGATATCACGTTCACAAGGAGGTCACCACGCCCTCGATCTTTCACCTTTGACCCCCAAAATCTAATCAGTTCATCCGTGAGTCCTAGTGAATGTTTGTGCCAAGTTTGAAGAAGTTCTGTCAAGACGTTACTGAGATATCGTGACCGCGAGAATGGGACGGACAACCTGAAAACAATATGCTCCGACTGCAACAACACATCTGCCGACTTACATCCCTTCTTGATCTCCTTCCAGCGGAACTGGTGTCTCCGGACCACAGAGAACACCGAATCAAAGCCCTGCAGCGTGATCATCTCCAGCGCCTCCTTCACGTGGTGCGGATGTAGACACGGGGACGTAGCCTGAATGTGGCATATCACATCCACCTCTGTGAAAACAAAGTCAAACAAAAGGACGAGCTGTGAAACCAAACAAGCTGTTTGGTGTCACACAGAACACACAATGGAGTGACAGTCACTCCCTGGCAGCTGTTTGCATACCTGGGTTGAGCCTGGCAAACTCTTGGATGGTTTCCAGTGATGAAGAAGAGTCTCTGGAGACTTCAGCACTCCTGCGATGCACCTTGGCGCCCCAGGATTTTGCCACCTTCTCTATCTCGTCGTGGTCCGTCGATACCCACACACTAGAAAGATTAAAAGTCTCATCTGTCTTATCTTTCTCTTCCATGCAGCACACCTGAACAGGTTCATTCCTCTTCATGCTACATACAAGCTAGTGTGAGTTTACCAGCAAGATTAATCTATTTATTTCAGTTATGACATTTTAAATAGGAAAGAAAAGGTGCATCAGAGGAGAATTTGGAGGATGTAGACATTATTATTCTGTAAATTATTCCTATACACTTCAGATCATGAAATAAATAACTTACTTTATTCGTCCAAGAGTCAAAAACAGTAAAAGAATATAAAGTTACAATGATGTAAAAAGGAGAAAATGTTTTAATCCAGGCCTACAGCGTGAACTAGAAGTGCAAGATCAGTGTCGAGCAACTTACACCAGACTTAATTCAAAATAAAATTCATAGTAAATGATCCATTTCTGCCCCAAAATGTAATGATCCACCCTTCAACCAAGCGTTACAAATCGGTACAGTCCTTTTTGCATAAATCCTGATGACGATTAAACAAACACGGATGTTATTTTTTTTTTTAAATCTCTTCTATGCTTTTCTTAAAATATAAACTATAAATAAAACAAGTTTGTAATAGGAGACACCGTGCACACGGAGGGCTGTACAACCTCTATAATAAAGTATTAAACACACATACTGAGACACCTCTGACCGTTTTTATAGGAAGTGTGGAGCAGGTTTGGAGGCACTATTTTAATCAATCCTATCGATTCTTCCTCTACCTGTCGAACATGTCGGAGTCCACAGCAGCCCTCAGCACCCAGCCGATGAGGGGCACCCCGGCTAACATTTTGATGTTTTTCAGGGGGATCCCTTTACTTCCTCCCCTCGCCAGGATCACAGCAGCGGCGTGTCTCTTGCCCTCCGCCCGGATCTGCTGCTGCTTGGGGGCGACCAGCGGTCCGTCCTGCTCCCCGTTATCGGCCGGGAGGCCTCTTTTCCTGGAGATCATATCGCTGTCAAAAAAAAAAAGCCTTTTAACCAAAAGGTGAAAGAAGACGCCAAGTCAGGCCGGTGAGACTTCCTCACGTCCGCTCGGTCGAAGTGTCACTGTAACGGCCAGGCTGAGGACCAGAGCAGCGGGTCTATTTATAAGACTCGATTCCGGTTGTAATTTTTTCTGGTGTACAATGATGGTTGCCTGTATTTGGACTGTGCTCACTACCGCCACCTGCTGGTCATGACATCGAATTGTCAACAAAAAAAAAAATTTACACTATGAAAGATCAGGGATGTGACAGGAGAAGTAAAAAAGAAAATACTTAATTTCATATTTAGATAAGCTTTAACAGAAATTGTAAGAAGAATTTATAAATGAATGATTACTCTATTAATAAATACTTCAGATTTGAAAATGGATTTACAAAAACAGCATAATCATTTATAAATACATTTATTAATTCATGAATAAATAATAAAATTTGAATTAAAAAAAAGGGGGGGGGGTACATTCCTGGATTCCCTCTTCAATTTCAATTTCCTTTTTTCCAGCTGCTTTTCTTTTTTTTTTTTTTTTTTTTTTTTAACTTTTTTATTATTCCATATCATTTGGGTCTAGATCATTTCATTAATTTCAGATTTAACAGAAAGCTGCGCCAACATTTACTATAACAGGTCATCAATTGTGGCCCCAGCATGTTAATTAATTAAGTAAGTTTTCTGTGTCAAGTAATTAACACACAGAAAACCCAAGGGAAAGTTGTATTGCTCCAAATGTGACTTAAAACTGGATAAAAAAATCAATATTGTGTTCATACAAATTCAAAGAATTACATGTAAGAAACTTTCAGCATAAGAGTTGCTGCTCCTTTGTCCTTCTTTTCTTTAACTGGGCAACAGCGACACCTTCTGGATGTTAGCAGTATGTTTTCTACCCTGGTAGGGAGGGATGATCTATGGACTCATGCACACTCAAATAACATGGGATCACGTCATGTCTTTGCAGTTGTTTGGATAGTCTTACCAGTCACATATTTCAAATAAACTGTGTCCATTGACGAGATATCCAAACCCTCTTGACAATTTTGGGAAAAACCAAAACAGATACAGATGACAATATATATTTGAAGTCAATGTGACAGTTAACCACAGGAACATTTAATCATTTTGTTTAGTAATTTCAAATTTGTACTTCATCGAAATTTAGTCAAATCACCATTCAAAGCAGCTTTTTCATCTAGATGATGTGTCCTTGTTAATGTAAGTGTAAAACGTCCCTGGGTGGGCTTGAACCACCAACCTTTCGGTTAACAGCCGAACGCGCTAACCGATTGCGCCACAGAGACAGGTCTGGCCTTAGTGGATGTGGCCTTCAATCTCCAACCACCTGAATTTGTTAAATCTAGTATGACTTGTTCCTTCTACACCTCAGGCTGATCAATAATAATGTTTCTACATGTCCACAAATTTAATATAATCCAAGCTAAGTGTACAACGTCCCTGGGTGGGCTTGAACCACCAACCTTTCAGTTAACAGCCGAACGCGCTAACCGATTGCGCCACAGAGACAGGTGTGTCTTGAGAGGATGTGGCCTTGCGGTTCAATCTCCACAAACCTGAATTTGTTAGATCTAGTATGANGAGACAAGTCTGTCTTGAGAGGATGTGGCCTTGCGCTTCAATCTCCACAAACCTGAATTTGTTAGATCTAGTATGACTTATTCCTTTTAGCCGTCAGGCTGATCAATAATAATGTTTCTATATGTCTGTTAATTTAATACAATTTAAGTGTAAAACGTCCCTGGGTGGGCTTGAACCACCAACCTTTCAGTTAACAGCCGAACGCGCTAACCGATTGCGCCACAGAGACAAGTCTGGCTTGAGGGGATTTGGCCTTGAGCTTCAATCTCCACCTGCCTGAATTTGTTAAATGAAGCGTGACTTATTCCTTCTAGATGTCAGGCTGATCAATAATAATGATTCTATATGTCTGCTAATTTAATCTAATTCAAGTGTAAAACGTCCCTGGGTGGGCTTGAACCACCAACCTTTCGGTTAACAGCCGAACGCGCTAACCGATTGCGCCACAGAGACACGTCTGTCCCCTGGGGGTGTGGCCTCAATGTTCAATCTCCACCCACCTGAACGTGTCATAGTATCATTTATTCCTTGTAGAAGGCTGATCAGTAATGTTTCTACCTGATCTCTAACTTAATATTTGAACCAAAAGTGTTCATTGTTAGAGTAATAGAACAATGCTTCATAATTTATTCTTTCATCTAGGCCTATCTATTTTGTAAAAAATGGAAACTGTCTCGTTTTGGCTTGTCTATGGTATGGGAATTTACTGTTGGGTAACAACTGATTATGTTTGCTATTCTTGGTTTTAAATCTTCATTTTGTTTCTTTAACCCTTCCCTCTCACCACAGAAAGTAGGGTTTTCATGTAGATTATGTATCATTGTTAATGTAAATGTAAAACGTCCCTGGGTGGGCTTGAACCACCAACCTTTCGGTTAACAGCCGAACGCGCTAACCGATTGCGCCACAGAGACATGTCTAGGGGGTGTGGCCTGTAGCTTCAATCTCCACCCACCTAAATTTGTTAAATCTATTATCATTTTTCCCTTCTGGACCTCAGGCTGATCAATAATAATGTTGCTACCTATCGTCTAGTTTCATATTTAAATGAAAAGTGGCTCATTGTTAGAGTATTAGAACACTGCTCCTTAATTTATTCATTCATTTATTTTGAAAATTATGAAAATTGTCACATTTAATCAGGTACAAAGATGTACTTAGTACATCATTGGTAATGTTTCCTATTTAATCTTTCTCATTCATAGCTTTGTTGTTAGTTTCTTTAACCCTTCCCTCTCACCACAGAAACTAGGTTTTTCATATAGACGATGTATCCTAGTTAATGTAATAGTTCCTTTAACAAAAGGATTGTCCCTCCCTCTTTGCTAACACTGCTGATTACTTTTGGTTTCTCTTCTAAAAGTTTAGGGCTGAGCTTTATTGTAAGACCATTTGTCCTCCAGCAGCTGCAATGAACACACAAGAAATACCTCATTCATTCTTAATAATTAATCAACTTTATTAATTGACTGTGTTCACATCATAAAACACATTCAAACATTCTGACAGTTCAGCTTTTCAATATCTGTATTCAATTCATCATATACAGTAATCACTGTTAAACACGTACAGTATGTCAGTAACATGACAAATAATTTTGTGTTGATCAGAGTATTGATTACATCTTTGCAACACATTTACAAAATGACAGTAAAAGTTAAATCTGATAAACTACATCAGCATGAAATCACACAAGTACATCACAGTCCTGTCCACACTGATTGATTGGCATTTGATCTCTGAGAAGTACATGTCAAAATACCACGTCACAGAGAAATGGGTGACAAAGAAAGAGAGAAAATCCATTTACAAACTAAGAATAGTGTCCCCATTGACTTTTTAATATCTCCTGTCTATTCTAGCTGAATAAACCTGGCACTGGTATCGTTCCAAAAAGTCGTTGAAAGACAAATTCCAGCATAGAGCGGCTGAGTGAATGTGGTCTGGACTCTGTGGAGGAGAGTCATGGTGTCAGAAACGCTGTAGAATGACAGAATACCTGCACTGGCATCAAGATACACTCCCACTCTGGAGGACTGAGGACCTGAGATAAGAGTTGTGACATTGTTATGTTTGAATTTGCAACCCTTTTTGAAACAATCCAATGCCCAAGACTCACTATTGTTTCCAAATCCACTTTCATCCATTTTGGAAATATTCTTGTATGCCACGGCTACTGAAACTTCTTTCCCGCTCCACTCCACCTCCCAGTAACAACGTCCAGTCAGACTCTCTCTACTCAGGACCTGCTGCCTCTCAGTGAATCTGTTTGGGTCAGAATTATATGTCAACGAATATCTGTCTTCTACACTTCTGTCCCTATCAGATAGAATCAGCTGATTGTGGACTGTGGCTGGATCCAGCGTCATTTGATATGAATATTTTAAAAACTCATCTCTGGTCTTGGGTTCTGCTTTAGGCAGCAAAACATCCACTGATCTCACTGTCAGTGAGAATTTGCACCATTCCTCACCAATGATTTCCTGTATTTTATCTCTGACCTTTGACACAGCTGCTTTCACATCCTCAAAGTACCTCAGAGGACGGATTTTGATGTTGGATGTGTCCGTAGGGTCACTGACGTTTGACTGCAGTGGGTAACTGAGTAGAAATTCTGTGTGGTCCTCTGTGCGTAAGAGCTGCGTCAGCTCAGCGTCTTTCCTCTTCAGCTCAGCGAGCTCCTGCTCCAGCGTCTTCATCAGCTGTTTGACTTGATTCACTTCAGTCATCTGCTGGAATCTGATCTGCTGCTTCAGTTTAGAGCTTTTTTCCTTGATGAGACAGATCAGCTCAGTGAAGATCTTCTCACTGTCCTCAACTGCTTTGTTAGCAGACTGGTTGATCACCTCCACCTCCTGCTGAAGCACCTTTACTTCTTCCTCTCTGGTCTGGATTCTCTGCTGGGTGTTTTGAAGACTTGCCCCAAGCTCTTCCTGCCTCGCTGTCCTTTCTGCTTCAGCTGAAACTGTTTTGTGGCCTTTGTGTTTATTCATGGAGCAGAGATAACAGATACACTTCTGATCAGTGCAGCAGAAAATCTTCATTACCTCCTTGTGATCAGGACAGATCTTCTGTTTCAGTTTCTTGGAAGGGTCGACCAGCTTGTGATTTTCAAAGGCAGGGGATTTGTAGTGAGGCTGGAGGTGTTGTTCACAGTAAGAGACCAGACACTGCAGACAGGACTTGACAGCTTTCAGTTTTCTCCCAGCGCAGAAATCACAGGCCACATCTTCAGGTCCAGCATAGTGATCGGCTGGAGTCGCTTGGAGTCCAGCCTTCTTCAGTTCCTCCACTAAATCTGCTAACATGATGTTTTTCACCAGAACAGGCCTTGGTATGAAGGTCTCTCTGCACATCGGGCAGCTGTAGATTTTCTTCTGATCTTCCTCATTGAAGTGGCTTTTAATACAGCTCATGCAGTAGTTGTGACCACAGGGAATAGTCGCTGGATCCTTTAGTAGATCCAAACAGATTGAACAGCAGCATGTTTCCCGATCGAGCTGATTCCCTCGTTGCGCCATTTCATCTCTCAGAAACAATGAAAGTCAAACAGCTTCACTTCTTGGTAAATACTGTCCTGTGATCCAAACCAAAACAGAGTTCTTCTTTTTCTTGTCGGAAACAAACAAGAGAATCCAAAAGCAGCTGATCAGGCAGACGGGACTAGTTCAGTCATTTTTAATGATACTGATACAAAAACCTACAAGTATCTTTCCCGGTCAAGCTGATACCTTTGCTTCGCCACATATCATTTGACCAGTGAGGTCAAACAGTTTCATTATCAGATAAATGCTGCTTTCTGATGCAAGTCAAAACGCAGTTCACTTCTTTAATATAGATTGCTGTGCTGACTCAGTCCTCTCAACATGTGCTACTGTTGGGAGCAGATTTGTGTCACATGACTTATGGTTCAAGGTTTTTAAGTTCACGTCCTCACCGCAGTTAGAAAACTAGAAATAACACCCATGCGGTTGTATGTTTCCGCCAAGGAGTCAAGTTGCATTTTACATCCATGTCTGTACAGACTCACACAATATATGTAATGAAGACTTTAGAGGAATCTAATAAAAGGTATTAAGTGTATTTTTGGAATAATGTTTCTGCCGGTCCTCTAACTTAGTATTGAAAACAATTGTTAAACTATTCGAAAGCCGCTGCATGAATTTATTTATGACTGTATTTTGGATATTGTCTCATTTAGACTTGTTGAGGGTATGGCAGTGTACTATTGGGTATGTCACCTATGATAATGTTTCCTATTTAATCTTTCTCATTCATAGCTTTGTTGTTAGTTTCTTTAACCCTTCCCTCTCACCACAGAAACTAGGTTTTTCATATAGACGATGTATCCTAGTTAATGTAATAGTTCCTTTAACAAAAGGATTGTCCCTCCCTCTTTGCTAACACTGCTGATTACTTTTGGTTTCTCTTCTAAAAGTTTAGGGCTGAGCTTTATTGTAAGACCATTTGTCCTCCAGCAGCTGCAATGAACACACAAGAAATACCTCATTCATTCTTAATAATTAATCAACTTTATTAATTGACTGTGTTCACATCATAAAACACATTCAAACATTCTGACAGTTCAGCTTTTCAATATCTGTTTTCATTTCATCATATACAGTAATCACTGTTAAACACATACAGTGTGTGTAACATGACAAATAATATTATGTTGATCAGAGTATTGATTACATCTTTGCAACACATTTACAAAATGACAGTAAAAGTTAAATCTGATAAACTACATCAGCATGAAATCACACAAGTACATCACAGTCCTGTCCACACTGATTGATTGGCATTTGATCTCTGAGAAGTACATGTCAAAATACCACGTCACAGAGAAATGGGTGACAAAGAAAGAGAGAACATCCATTTACAAACTATGAATAGTGTCCCTAGTTTCCCCTATAGATGATGTATCTTTGTTAATGTAAATGTAAATCGTCCCTGGGTGGGCTCGAACCACCAACCTTTCGGTTAACAGCCGAACGCGCTAACCGATTGCGCCACAGAGACAAGGCTGAGCTGATGGGGTGTGGCCTTCATGTTCAATCCCCACCCACCTGCATTTGTTATTTGTAGTAGTTTTTCTTCCTTCAGAAGGACTTTAATCACACAATGTTTTCGTTCTGTTTTCTTTCTCGTGCAGCTCTTTGTGTCATTTAACTTTTTTATTGCTTTCATTTCTTTACAACACACACGTCAGCTCACAGCGTAAACAACCACACACACACACACACACACACACACACACACACACACACACACACACACAGGTATGCCACCTGACCAGTGCTCCCGCATATTGCCGAAAAAATAAAGCCTATAAAATATGCAAACCAGCCAACAATTATGACATGACGCTGCGAGACTGAGGGAGGCGAGAGAGAAAGACAATTGAGGAGAATGTAAAGTCAAAATACAGGAATAGTAAGTCAGTAAAAAATATGTCCACTCCTTTTCTAACCAAATGAAACTTAAAAAGCGTAAGGGAGTGGCTGACATGTTCAAAGTGCCAAACATTCTTTTAAAGCTCTATTATGACATTTTACAGTCAAGTATCAACGATCAATTATACAGTGGTGCAAAACAAAGCGGTAGTGTTGCATAGAAAGCATAAGAACTATGGTTTATTATGAATTGTATTTTATTTTCATGGCTCCAAACCATTATGATTACACTGTATTCACCATGGTAAATGCTTAGATCTAAAAATAGGTCCAATGGGTCAACAAACAACAGACACTTTGAATTACCTTATGTCCTGATAACTTATACCGTGTCCAGGGAAACTTGTTTCTAATTGGCTGGCAGGTGTCTGGTAACATGTCACAACTTTCTTTATTATAGCACCTTTAAATCCATTCTAAAATGTACAGGAAGTTGTTGTTTTGGGAAGGCAACAGCATGCATTGCTATCTGTCATGGTGTAATTTTTGATGCCGCCACTGGTGGTCACCAAAGTCCCATCTGTGAAATTCTCAAATTTCACACATGGGCCTTTGAACATAAGATGAGAATTTCCACTAAAATCAGCATCTTCTGACTGACTGTCCGGCCACCAACATCAAGACAGGAAGTGTCAAAATGATCTGAGTCACCACCAGTTGGTGCAGATCTTTTCCCACTGGGTTTTGCTTCTCAGGCAACATACGAGGTGCATAAGTACTTTCACATCTGCTGCATGTTTTCAGATAAAATGTGTTATTATTCTCCTAAAAAATGTGCTGGAAGTGGATATCAATTAAAGATAAGGCAATACAGGAGCGTGTGCCCTTAAATCAATCAATCAAACTTTATCTGCACAGCACTTTTCATACAGGTTAGTTCAGTTCAAAATGCTTCACAGACGACTGATGAGATAAAAAGAAAAGGACAAATCAATTAAAGTGACAATGAGATACAATAGAATAGATTTAAAAATCTAAAACATTAGCAAAAAAAAAAACTTAATAAAAGAACAGGTAAAATACAATAAAAGAAAACATAAATTATACATAATTAAAGATACAACATTATTTAGCAGGTGTCTGACACTAAATGTGTTTTTAAATAAGATTAGAGCAAAAATAATGCACATTGCATTTGTTACTTTTATTTAGTTTTTGTTATACTACCATTAGTATGGAGAGATTATCAGTTATCTCTCACTGGTGACACTAAAATAACCATGACCAACGACCAAACTTAACTTTAAAAAAAGAAGATGGCCGACAGTGGTAGGATTCCAAAAAAAAAAAAAAAAAAAAAAAAATCAGTGTGTTCCTTTAATGTAGGAACAAAAACAGAGAGAGGAAAGACAAACAAGTAACAGTCGTGTGGAGGAGACGGGAGAAGAGATGGTTGTTGATCAGGTTGAACTGGTCTAAAGTGTGTTCTCTTCTCTCGTTTCTTTTCTCTCTCTCTCTCTCTCTCTCTCTCTGCATCTTTATCTCTCTCTTAACCGACTTAAATCTGTCTCTCCTAGCAAAACACATCCAAAAACCGCCTGTAGACACAAGAAAGAGGTTTGAAGGCGATGTAACAAAAAGGAGAATAGTCTCCGATGACAGAGACGAAGGAGTAGGTTTAGCTAACCCGCCCAAACTACTCCAGCAGCCCGTTCAGTCCTCACCACTCCTCTCTTTCATAACTGACTCCTCGTCCTCTGCACAGCCACAGGAAGTAACAGGCGGAAAAAAAAGGCTGCGTACATTTTGTATTCTTAAGTGTGTCTGTTTGTTATATCTGCACATGCAAATGGAAAAAACCTCTCAGGTGGCGACACGCAGGGACTTAAACAAAGAGGAGAATCTAACAGTGTAACAGGAGTGTTTGCCGGGGTTAGGGGTTCGTTCTTGGAACCTGGTTTAAGGCCCTTGGAATAAAATAATGGCATAGGCGTATGCAACCAGTAAAGCAAAACAAAATGCTAACATATTCCTGATCCACACGATAAAGGTGTTATCACAGTTATCATCGATGCATTGTGGAACCTGGTCCAGACTACATGAAATCAGGGTTTGATTGAGGCCATCTTTAAATCTTTTATTATTTTTTCACAGAATGGCACAAACATAAGTTGAGAAACACTATGTATGAAATCCCGGCTACCTTGCTAAATCAAACTGGTGACTGTTTATTAAATATGAAGCTGGAGCCAGAAAACGATTAGCTTAGCTTAGCATGGGGAAGCAGCTAGCCTACCTCTGTCCAGAGGTAAAGAAAAAACACTTCCTGTTTCAGCAGCTGGAGTCTGAGAGAGCAGATTTATCCACTATATCGTTGCCTCTGAATTAATAGCGTGAATTTGTGCACTACTTTCTGCAATGCTCCACATTTTACACACATTTTTGTACAGATTAAACTAACGTGTTAATCAGTGAACTTCAGAGGTGTTGGTGGGTGATTTGTTTACATTTGGATTGAGCCAGGCTAGCTCCTCCCCCTTGTTTCCAGTCTTTATGCTAAGCTAAACTAAAACAGTCTCCTGCTGTAGCTTCATATTTGACATACAAACATGACAATGATGTCAATTGTATTTTCTAACCTTCTGCATTAAATCTAATTTTTCTAAATGTAAAACTATTTAAGAGCAAGTCTAGATCTTCATTATTATAAGGAAGTAAGGTATAATGAGGCTTATTGCTTATTGTTTTCACTTTACTGATGTAGCAGAGACAGAAAACTCATTCATTTAAAAGAAAAAACAAACCTCCACCTGTATAATTACACGCAGCTCCATCATGGGCTGTGTGGTGGCCCATGGTCAAAAAGTAGCTCCTGAAGTTTAGACTAAGAGAAGATGTCTGTGGATCATCGTAGACTCCATACTGCACAACCCAGCGAGGAGGGACCTGACTCAAGCGACACAAAATCACAGCTGCAAAACTGAAACTAGAGACAACGATCAAATGTGGGATGGACAAGAAGTGGAGAAACATGTAGGGAAAGAACTTGGATGCAGTGGGTGGGTTGTTACGTGTAGGTTTCAGGTGTTTCAAGAGGCCATTTAGGGTGTGTGTGTGTGTGTGTGTGTGTGTGTGGGAGTTGGTTTAATTACAAAGACCGAGAGAACAGTGCAGAAGCTGGAGGGGGCCGTAAACACACAGCAGGGAGGGACAGGTGGGGCTGAATGACTCATTTACATACCTACAGGCCTGTATTGGTCTTTTTAGCTGTGATATTAATCTAATTAACTAAGCATCACTGGGACATGCTATGAGACTACTATCACATATGTTATCAGCAGGTAAACTAAAGCTAATATCAGCTGTAGTTCATAAGGAAGTGGGTAAATATTCTTCAATTAATCAAGTTCTGTCTACAAAATTACATTTGGTCCAAAATTAAAAATTCACTTCAATATTAAATTTCATGTTAAACAACAGAGAGACACAGCAAATCTGGAACTTGTGAATTTGTGGTATATTTAAATTTTTGTTCCATCCATCGACTAATTATTCAAATGACAAGTTGTTTCATCTTTAATCTACATTCTGGATTTCACGTTCCTCTGCGTCTGTGTTGAATAATCAGGGTTACTGCTGGAAAAAATATGACGTTCTTCCTCCTGTGGAAAAGTAAAGAGTTCAGAAAGTAGTTCCACTATTTAATATAAAAGTTCTGTGTTTCACCCTAAAGTGATTGTGATACTTTTCTGTGGAATCATCTGTTGAATTTGAAGCACGTTTCACGTTTCCATCATGATTCTGATATTTCCCGCAGGATCTAAAGGCACCATTGAGGTTTTTTTTAATCAAACCCGAAGAACAAGATATCTCTTCAACACAAGCCTGATTTTACACCATGACTTGACAAAAACACTGTGGTCACAGTAAATGAACCATGTATCACTACACACTAGAGGAACACAGAAGACTGTTATACTTTTATCAGAACTTCTGCTTTTATTTTGTCCCTTAACCAGTGAATTTCTCGTCTAGTTTTCAATCCCTCGTAATGATTTCAGAAGCTCAAGACCAAGAGTATCATGCAAATACAACATCATGTGAATGTCCTGCACAGAAAATGCAACAATCAATAGTGTGCAGAAGAACTGATAATAAACACCTATATTTACACCTATAGCTAAAGCTAAAGCTAACAGTGAATCTATATCTGGATCTTTCCTTCAGGTGCCGTTGAATTATGTTGCATTACAAAAACAGGTGTTTCACTTACTTGTTGATATAAATGGGGTGGAAACACCTGTCACTGTCAACAGCAGCACAACCTGCGGTATCACTGGTACTCAGTAAAGCACCTAGACTCCGCCAAGGCCAAACAATCTCACACCTGCTCTGTCAGAAACTCATAGATCTCAACACCTTAAATGTGTCTGATTGTTTACTTCAAGATCCAAACGTTATTTCCTGAGAACTTCCTATCTTGCAATCCAACATTAACTGGATCCACAACAGAATTTAATGGGTTGGCCCTCGGCCCTCGGCCCTCGGCCCACGCCCCGTCCCACCACCACGTTTGATGCAAATCAGTTCAGTACTGTTTGTGTGATCCTGCTGATAATCAAACAGATAAATGGCTTCAGCTGAAAACATGACCTCCTCGGTGGAGATAATAACTGATCCGTTGTATTAGACTGTCCTGGTTTTAGCTCGATGTGTCTAATAAACTGGCATAAAGGGAGAAAATCACATCAGCACCCAAATCAGCCTTTAACGTGTGGGTCTACATCAGATATGGTGATATGATGGAGCTTCCTCCCGGAACCTTGTCTGCAAATGACAGAGGTCAGTTTTAATTATCCTAAAATATTCCCCTCGGCCATGAACACACCTCAGACTGCTCTAGACGTTCAGACGGAAAGAAAAATCAAAGATGGCTAACTTAAAATGTCACAGGTCAAACACTTAGATAAGAGCGTGTTTGGTTTTGCCTGCTGTGTTCACGCATCTCCGGGGGGAAGGTGTGTGTGCGTGTGTGTTCCTGTGTGTCTATATTGTATAATTACCCTCCACACACACACACACACACACACACACACCCACACACACCCACACACTCTCTCTCTCTCTCTCTGTAGCCTATTCCCTATATTCTCTTCCTCTTCTTGTCACTTCCACCATTCCCCACACCTTAAAGCTGAATGGAGGTTCAGATAGAGAGAGGAAAGGAAAGACTGAGGCAAACAGAGAGAGAGAGAGAGAGGAGGGGTAAACCGGTTCAGCAGGTAACTGAGGCCTAACCCAGGCTCCCTTCAGCTTGTTGTCACCGTTATTTCTGACGCGCATGCGCGCTGGCGCCTGTTTCCTGCTTTTTAAATGAGTACCTGAGCTGCGTTTTGACCCACCTCTGTCGACTCCCTCTCTCTCTCTCTGTGTGTGTGTGTGTGTGTAATCAGGGATATTGTTTTCCTTAGCCCGCTCTCTCACCCACTCACACACACTCCCGTTATTTCAGAGCGCTGTAGGTGATACTCGTCTTTACCTGTCCGGCTTGCTCACCTGAGCGGACTCACCTGTCCCGACGCCGAGACACACTCTCCTTTCCTTTTAGATTCGGAGCCTTAGAGACAATCAGCGCGAGGGGGAAAGGTGTGTTAGTTGCGGGAAAAGGAGATAAAGCGGTCCACGGCTTGCGAAACGAGAAGAAAGGTGCAAGGAGGAAGGAGAAGAGGGGACCGACACCTTCCATTTCTGTCCACCAACTTTGGAGTTTCCTGCTTTCCCAGCTCCCAGTCGCCTCTGCGTCGCGGAAAAAAAAAAAAAAAAAAACTACCTGCACGCAAATCCCTCCAAAGATCCAGGTAATAACCGAACATGCCGCGGGCCTTCTTGGTGAAAAAGGCGAACGTTTCGCCGGGTAAGCGGAACTGGAGCGAGCTCCCGGATCATGAACGAGGAGACGTCTACATCCCAGGTGAGTCCACGCTGCCGTAATGAGCCATATTTGTTGCTTTGGTTTTTTTTTTTTCTTTTTTTTTTCTTTCTAAAAAGTAAACCATAACGCAAAGCAGTGGCGCGTGTTTGGGTGCTTTTACGCACGGATTTATTTGTGGATTTAATGTTTGGATTCACCAGGAATGTCAGTGTGGCGGGCGGGCGGGGAGGGGGGTCGGGTGGTGATTGTAACGGGGCAGCTGCAGTCCGGGGCCACCGAATAACGGGAAACACAGAGGGGGGGGCCGCGAGGAGAGTGTCGTTCCTGCCTTGGGGGTGGGGGTGTATTTTTATCTTTAAGTCTTATTTTATCATAAGAAACAACGCTGCCACCCTGACTTGATCCAAACGGGAGAATTCTCTCATCTCAAATATCAACGAAAGAACATGTAAATGTCACAGTAAAACACCCCGTTTCCGTATATTTACACTTGTGTTTTCATATCTGTGAGGGAACTGCTCTGGTGTCTGCTGCGGCCTATAAACTGTCAGGGCCCGTTGCTTTTCTCATATCGACCTTCAACCCCTGCCTTCTTCCTTGTGCAGCGAGGCACTATCTTGACTTGTGTGCATATATAAGCCCATTATATAGTCTTTAAAGTATGAGTCAAGACATTAAATGGGTTAAATAATCCCTCATTTGATGACATTATTGAATTCATCGCTGTTTAACGTGTTCTAACTGAAGAAGTGCAAGCGCTGACATGTGTTAACTGTCACATTTGAGCTTTTGTTGCTTTGACTTCATCTGAGCTGTTTGCCTCCGACTTTGCATTTGAATGACAGGTTGAGGGAACCCACCTCTGTCTTTCTCCCTCTCCCTCCTTGGGAACAATCCCCATTGTTGCCATCGGCGGAGTTTTTATTGTAAGACCACGTCGGTATCAGATAACAAGTAACGGACTACACCCTAAAACCTCTCTCTCGCTCTCCTTCTCTCTCTCTCTCTCTCACCCTTCCCCCCTTCTCTCTCCCTGAGTGTCTGTTTCTCTCCTCATCTCGTCACCGTTAACTTTTAATCATTGACTTTTACATCCTCTGTGCTTTGGTGTTTGAAACCGGAACGTATGGATGAACTGAACCGCCACGGATTTCCAGGTGGTTTTTAAACGCCTGAAAAAAAAAACAAAGAAGAAACTCAAGCTCTTGTTAAATGACATTTAGTAATCTTAACAGAGGCACACGAGTGTCTCAGGCTTGTTCCACAGCACGTGTGAAGCTTTTTGAGGCTGTTTTTACGCACAAAAAAACAATCAATTAACTAATTTCCTGAAGCGAAATTCAACTGTTGAACACAATGAGATTCTGTAACTCTGACTCTCAGTCAGTATTGACTTTACGCAGCAACTAAAATGAGAATCAGTTGCAAAAAACTATATATTTTTTCCCCATCAAAAGATTCAAATTGCCCCAAGACCTTACAGTATTTCCATAATAAACACCAGAGCGATCGTGCGTAATTACGCATAGCTGACACTCCTCACCAAACCCAGCAACGGTCTCAGCTAAAGTTTCTGGTATGTGCCGTTACTTGATGTACCTGCCTGACTTGAGACAGGAGGACACACACACACACACACACACACACACACACACACACACACACACACACACACACACACACACACCGAAAGAGAGAGAGAGAGAGAGAGAGAGAGGTATGATGATTATCCTCAGAAACAGGCGTGTTGAATACTTTTATGAGGCGCCAGATGCCATCACTTTGGACAGTTTTTTCTTTCCCTCTTTGTCTGTGTGTTTCTGTTCGTAGTTGTATGAGTTTATTTTTATCTCCTAATCCACAAACATGTGCCAGGACCTGTTTCTGATGGGTCATCAGTCCCGAATCAGCTTCTGTTTAGTTTATAATCCGGTTTATCCCTCCTCTACACACCAGTATAAAATCTATCATCATCTGAAAACAATTTTTCAGATAAACAGACATTTTAATGAAGATCCCCGAAATTTGGTAATTAAAGGAAATGTTTGACATTTGGGGAAAACATGTTTGTTTATTAATTTATTCAAAGGGAAACTGCTAGCATGGCTGTGTCCAAAAGTAACAAAACCAACCTCCAGCACCTCAAGAGCTCAAAACTAACATGTTGTATCGTGTTTGTTTAATCCAGACAAAGACTGAAGTGTGAAAACGACAAGTTGTTTTACAGCGACGGTGACTTCCTGGAGTCTTGTGAAGTTACACTTAAACCAGTGACACCTGATTAGTTTTTCTTTAGCGCTGCCGCGGGTTCATCATCTTGCACTAAGGATCTCTGCTCTGAGGCTGCTGCGAGGTTAATGTTTATTGGATGGAAGGAAATGTAACGGACCTCTGAGACAAGCCTACTGCTGCAGTCCGCCTTTAGCAAACACACACACACACACACACACACACATGCACAAACACGCAAACAGACTCACACCCTGTGTTTGATAAACTTATCTACCGATTGTTGACTCTTTGTACCTGCTGAGCGACGTTAAATGGACGGAAAGAAAATATTAAAAAGCGTTTAGATCAACACAACTCTCCCTCTCCCTCCTGCTCTCCCTATCTCTCTCTCTCTATTGAAGGTGGGGTATTTTGAACCCCCTACCCCTACCTTCAAACACACACACACACACACACACACACACACACCTACACCTCATTCCCTGGTGAGGGGGGAAGGGTAGGTGAACAAACAATACAAGATGAGATTAAATGTCCAGCCGGCAGCAGTCGCCACAGAAACTATCACCACACAGGAACAATTAGGAAAGATTTAAAACCATGTGTAAAGGGAGGGATTCTCTTCTTGACCTCTAGTAACCCAGTTAATGAAATTAAGCATCCCATACTTTATTATTATTATTATTATTATTATTGTTTTTATACAGTATCTATAACGGAAGCATTCGGAGAGACTTGTGTGTGTTTTAGTGCCGTACGGTCACTATAGAGCCCAGGTGAGTGTGTGGTCATGACTGAGACCAACAAAGCCTCCATGAGTGATGTTTCTTTATCACATATGAGGGACCAGCTGTTGTGCACAAAGGTCACTGTGTCACAGCGTACCGTTACCTCCGCTGCTGCTTTACAGACCGGATGTTGTGTCGGTTTCATCTTTATAGCTCACTGCCGCGCTTCATTTGCATCCACATTTGAATTTTATCTGACTGAGGCCCTGCAGAGTCAACTGATTCGTTGTCTTCTTCTCTGAGCCGGACCACACCTGCCTCTGGGTTTTACCTGAGCACAAAGACAGGCACACACACACACACACACACACCTGTATGGTGGAGGCTCAGTGGTTTCTATTACTGACATTTCTGTCTGTCTGTCTGCCTCTTTCAGAAGTGTTTTGTTATAGTGTGCTCATGAACACAACGAGCACACACACACACACATACACACACACACACACACACACAGAGAGAGACAGGTATCCACTGTATGTGTGGATTGTTTGATGAAGGTACAGAGCTGGTGCTGCAAGACTGTCTGGCTGGACGAGTCTAACTGCAGTGTGTGTGTGTGTGTGTGTGTATGTTTGTGTGCGTGCGTGCAAAAAATAACTCGCTCAAAACAATAGGCCAAACATGTGCACACCCACACCCATACACACACACACATGTTTAACTCTGTGTTTGCTAATTGAGGGATTGTGCAAATATGAAGCTGCGCAGCCTCATTGTGAAATTCTATGGCACAAGCTCTCTCTCTCTCTCTCTCTCTCTCTCTCTCTCTCTCTCTCTCTCTCTCTTTATTGTCTTTCTCAGCCTGTAGTTATATTTACAAACCATATGCTGTTTGGATCAGGTGAATAAAATGTTCTTCTGGACATCTAAATGAACCGGTGAGGTTGTATATATGAGCTCAGAATGATTAAACAATCAGTTACAGGTTATTTTTTTGATTTATTGTTTAATTGTCTATAAAATGTCAGAAAATAGTCAAAAATGTCTGTTATGATTTCCTAAACCACAAGTTGACGTCTTGTTTTGTTTCTTAAGAAGAGATTTGAAATGTGACACTGACTTTTCCTTTCTCTCTCTCTCTCTTTCCTTCCAGTGTCCATCTTCCCTCCGTCCGTCCTGATGATGGAGGCTGAAGCCAGCCCCGCCGAGTCCACGCCGCTCTGCCTCACCAAACACTCTGTGTCCGACGTGCGGACCCACGCCGAGCTGCCGTCCAGCACGGTGCTGGGCCGACCACAGAGCCCCGCGGCTTCACCGGAGGAGAAGTCAGAGGTCAGGAGGAGGTCGCAGGGCGGCTCCACGTACATCCGGTCCAAAATCAAGGTGAGGAAACGAGCAGGGACCCTCAGAGTAAAGTCTGGATGACGAGCATTTAAAAAGCGTTTTCGTATTAGTGGATAAGAAATAGAATATCTAGACAGAGAAATCTGGCTTGTTTCGTCTTCTAGAAACAGATTTCTTATGTTTTCAAATTTCACAAAGATAATGCTTCAGTTCTTTAATCACAAACTGCAGCTCAGTGTGAAAATGAACAAATACAGGTCAATTAAAACGTAATGGAGATGACATCACTGAGGTTTTTTATTCTCTCTCTCCACCACAGGTGACTACAGGCGAGTTACCCCCCAGTCCCTCCCCTCTCCCTCTCGCTCTCCCTCCCATTCCCGCCCTGCCATCCTTGACCCCTCCCGCCGCCGTGATGCCAATTGCCTTGACGACAACGACGACAACCCCTGCCCCTCTGGAGCCGGTCCCCATGGTGACCAGATCAGTAGGTCAAGGTCAAAGCTCGTCGACGGGTGCGACAGCGCCGTTTATATGTCAGGTACGACGGAGAGACTGGAACAGAAGTCTTTGTTGAAGCTTTAAAAGGAAAATCAGGAAGTTTTATTTTGAAGTTTTTGTTATTAAATCAGTGTGGTGGAGTATCAGGACGTTTACCTTGAACTCTCTCCATTGTCTGCTGTCGAATGTTTAACAGAACATTGGTTAACATTGCCAAGAGTGTAAATATCATATTTGTATTTACGTAACACCTGTATATTTGAAATAGAAAACTGCTGACTAGTCCAGGCTGAAACATGATCTTTCTTGACACCAAAACATTTTCAAATTGGTCAAAATAATGAATGACATTCAAGAAAAACTTTGTAAAACACAATTTAAAGGTACCCTGTGGAGCTTTTGACAATTCTGTGGATTTTTGTCTTCAAGAGTAGATCCATGTTTTTGTCTGTTTCATGCAAAAGCTCGATCTCGTGGGGAAAGGCGAGGCAGTGACTTGCAAAAACATGTAGCAACATTGAAGAAGATCACTAGTGGACAAACCTGAATATAAACAAAACTATATTTCATATAGTCAAAAAGATTGTCTTTGCAAATATGGCACCTTTTTAATGTTTGAATTATGCAATAAGCTCCTAAGGTGAAGGTAGAGTGAAACGGTCCTGACCATACTGTTGCTGCCTGTAGGTTTGCCAGAAGACATTCCAGTACCAGCGGATGTTAAACAGACACATCAAGTGTCACAACGAGACCAAGAGACACCTGTGCCCCTTCTGCGGCAAAGGCTTCAACGACACCTTTGACCTCAAGAGACACGTGCGCACACATACAGGTAGCCACACACCTCCACGTTAAACACAATTTGTCAGATTTAAACAAATGCAAGAAAGCATGTGACATTTTATTTTTTATTTGCACGCAGGGGTCCGTCCGTACAAGTGCAGCCTGTGCGACAAGGCCTTCACCCAGCGCTGCTCCCTGGAGTCCCACATGAAGAAGATCCACAGCGTCAATGTGAAGTACGCCTACAAGGAGCGGCGCAACAAGCTGTACGTCTGCGAGGAGTGCGGCCACACGGCGGGAGCTCAGGACGAGCTGGCGGTCCACCTCCACTCGCTTCACCCAGACAGTGCCCTGTTGAAGGGGAAGGCTGCGCGGAGAGCGGGAGGAGGAGGAGGAGGAGGAGGAGGAGGAGGAGCCGGCAAAGAAGGACAGTCAGTCGGAGGATCCATGCCAGGTTCTCCCCAAGGAGCTGATAGCGATGACACCACCGGATCTGCAGGGCAGTAGAGAGGAGGAGAGCCTGAAAGATCATCAACATAAGCTTAGGGGGATGGATGAAGGATGGATGGATGGATGGATGGATGAATGGATGGATGGATGCATTAAATGATGGACATGTAGGTAAAGGGATACGATACATGTACTGTATATGTGTAAATATCTATGAAGGTATGTGTGTCTGGATTTGGGCATTTGTATATGACTAATGTTGAAAGGATTAACGCACCACACACGCCGTGTCGTACTTTGACTTTATATATTTACATGAGTAAGAAAATGTACATATCTAACAATACAACATATGTTTCTTTACATTGTGAAGGTTTCCTATGGGTGTGTTTGTACAGCAAAAAGATGAATTTTTGTATCTACTAAAAAAAGTAAAACTGTTATATTAAAGGGAATAATATATTACTGAAAAAATTAATTTCCTTTTTTGTTATGAATTATGTTTATTCTTCATCCTTTAACAGAGTCTCTTTCATGGGCTGGGAATGCTTCTAGAAATGGTGCCTACAAAAAGTGAAAATATAATGAATTTTTATTTATGGGAAATATACCAACAACCTGCTGTGGTTCATTTCCCCAAGCTTCTGATTTTCCAGAAAATATAATTAACTGGCAGCATTTGAAAAACCCTCCCAAGTCCTGTCTTTTCTAATCCAAACAAAAAATATGAAAAAAGTAAATGACAAATCATCTGGCTGAATTTATACAACATTAACCGAAAATTTAAAACAATTATAACAGTTATATTGGTAAATAATAATATTATTGTCTAGTCACATTGAAATCATGAGAAGAGAAAAATAAAAGAAATTACAAAAAAGAAATATTAGCAGAAATACTCATTTTCAGCGATTTAAATACATTCAGATTTGTATTCATACCAACAAGTGGACGTGTGTTTATATAAACAGCGATCAGAGTTCATATTTAAATGCATTTAAATATGCATTAAGATACACAACCAGGCAGACAATGAGAAGACGACTTAAACGCTAAAGACCATAACTGTTTTTTCTAGAATAGTGAAAACCTCATAATGGATGAATCTGTTGTGAAATGCTTTACTACAGCTAATTATATACAGTATATATACAGTATATATATATATATATATATATATATATATAGGGTTTAAAGAAAAAGAGGTTTAGAGACAACAGACATAGACGCACATTCCTTCATTCATGCATTGTTATGGACACCCCTGCAACTAAATATTAATGTTTGTTTTTGGATGGTAAAATAATAAAGATATTAAAGTTCAATTCTCATATGGGCCAACATTCAAAGATCACTTAATCACACAAACTTGTCAGACGTGTCAGACTTGTCTGACTTTTAAAAAATGCAGTCTGTACCACTGTAGAACATAAAGGCCCTGCCTTCTAATTGCATGTGCAGTATATCCTTACATTGACAAGTGCATGCAGCAGTAAATCTGTCACCACTCATGCAGATTGCCAAGATTTGATTTGTTATGTTTTGTTAAAATGCACAGATGCAAACTAACTCAGCGTCTCATTAAGCATTCAGAGACTTTGATTTACAAACTTTAGGTTCAGTTAAATTCCAAATTGATCAAATCAGTTGGTGAATTTCTAAAATCACCAAACTGGAACTTGTCCGTCATTAAAATCCTGTTTTATTTCAGTGATAAAGGTCGACAGTTTACGAGAATGAAGCTGTTGAGGACGATCATAAACCTATGTGTTTGTTTGTGCGTGCGCATATTTCCTTTGTCTGACAAATAACCGTCTATTTATACCCTGACAGTATGAGTCAGTAATATGAATCTGTTTACTGGATTTAGCTATTACAGTATATAATCTGTTTCTAATGTTTTCTTGTAAAATAATAAAAAAACAAAAAAAAACGTTTGAAGTCTAATATTCAGTTGAGACCTGCGAGGAAAAAAGCACCGCAAGTGATATATGAAAGGTAATAAAGGATGTAATCAAAAAAGAATTTAATATATTTACAGGTTACAGCAAGATGTGTGAAGACGTTGCTGAAGGCACAAAAGGAATTCTTGGCATTACAGCTGTAAATCCACGTGTTTACATATGTCACACTACTACTACTTTTTGTCAGTAAGTTGGTGAAAACACTTCCGAATAATAAATACTACTTAGTAGAGTTTTGACATATCATATTTAAGCCAGTTGCTTGCGGTATAGAATTACTTTTTGTGGGTTTCTGTTTCCTGTGTGAATGACAAAAGTGTTTCCTTTGGCCTCATTTCACAACATTAAACAACCTGGTTTTATTTGAATATAAAAGTGTAAGTTAATAAAGCTTTACACTGCCTCTTCACCCAGTGTGTGAGTCCACAAATGATGGCTGTTATGCGCTAATTATTCTACTCCCCCCCCAAGCTCTTGACTGTGTGAGCTGAAAGACAGAGAGAGAGAGAGAAGGAGAGGATGTGGCTGGGAGGGTGAGGTTGGATTCCTGGTCTCTGTCGGGTCTTGTCGGAGGATTCCAGCAAACAGCCTTCGGCCTGCGGATACATAGAGGCGGATTCAGGTGACAACCACATAACGGTCTTTAAAGTCAGCTGACGCCCATTGAAGAGAGGTGAAAGTCATTTGTTTATTCACAAAATCCATCTTGTGTATAGCATCATATTTGTCATGGCAGAAGAGTTGTGCATGTTGCATTTTTAATTCATTTTTAACATTTTATTTATTTCTTTTTAGTCGGTGTTAAAAGGCAATTTGGGTTCTGGGTGGGAAAAGTGAAAAAAGCAGCACTTACCAACCCTCATCAACACTGTTGTGGTGCTGTTGAGCAAGGCCCTTAATACGACTTCTGCTACTACTATCAGCCTACTTGCAGTAAATTACAAAATAATACTAACAAAATAACTGCAAATGTATTTAAAGCCTTTATTTATATCTAATTCATTACAATTAATGCTAGAGTCCATCAATAATTAGTTGATTGATTGATTCACAGAAAATAATTCTACAGCTATTTTGATGATTCATTAATCATTAAATTCCCTTTCTTTTCAAGCAAAAAATGCCAAACATTTTGTGGCTAAAGACTCACAAATGTAAGGGTTTGCTGCTTTTCCAGGATTTACATTAAAGTAAATTGAATGACTGAATAGATAAAATAAGGAATTAAATTTAATTCAATTTATAATGACAATAAATGTTAGTTGCATTTCTATTTATGTGTTTTATTGTTTGGTTACTTTTGCAAATAAAATTTTAAAATAAAATTTAGAAATACCAATTGGCTTTAATATAATACAGTATTTATTAATTTCTTTATTCAGTCTTCATTATTATTATTTTTTTTATACTCATAACATTTTTCGTATCTTTCTATTCATTTATTTACTAATTTAAGCGTTTGCTCACCTCTATATTTACCTTTTGGTAACTCATTTGTGACGTCACGTTCTACTTCCGGTCATGTGACTGGTGTCAAAAAGGACATGCGCAGTGTGTTTGAATACAAGGCGCCAGCAGCAGCTGCAGCTTCTCAACTAACAGGTGAGCCCAATTTCCAGGCACAAACACGACTTCTTCTACTCTTTTCTTTGCTTAAACCTTCTACAACATGTTGTTGTCTACTTTTAAACTTTATGTCTTGTTGGTGAAAACTCTCACACCGGGCAAATTGCTAGTTGTTGTCAGCTAACGCTAGCGTTAGTTAGCTAAAGTCGCAGGATATGTTTGTGTTGTTTGCACCAACTCGGCTAAATGTAGTTTAACGTGTCGTAGTGCAGCAGCTGGGGTTTATCCCGTCGTCCGTCTCCTGTCAGACCCAAAGGGATGCCAGCTTCGGAGCCGGTCCGGTTGGGTCGGAAACGTGCCCTGCCCTCCTGCCCGAACCCGCTGTTCCTCAAGTGGCTCACCGAGCTCCGGGACGAGGCGAAAGAGAAGGGGCTGAAGATCCAGTACACCTATCAAAAGGTGAGGAGGACGATCTGCTCACTTCATAACCCTAACTTCTTACTGAGCAGGAAGCAGCTCTGATCCTCATTACATCTGAAAAGCTAAAGTAAAAAGAAAAGAAACACTACATGGCCAAAAGTATGTGGACACCCCATGTGGACTTTCTTTGTTTTTAGTTTATTTGTCTCAAAAGGTGAAATCTTAATGCAACAGATGAACACCTGTGCACCTGTTTATTCTTACAATCATCCAGTAGTCCGCATGGCAACAGTGCAATGTATAAAATCCTGCAGACACAGTTCAGGAACTTCAGTTAATGTTCACATCAAACATCAGAATGGGGGCAAAAAATGTGACAGTGGCTTTAGACCGTGGTTTGATTGTTAGTGTCAGACCGGCTGGTTTGAGTGTTTCTGAAACTGGGATTCACACTCACAATAGCGTTTACTCAGAATGGTGCAAAAAAAACAAAAAAAAAACAATAAACATCCAGTGAGCGACAGATCTGCAGAGAGAGACGCTTGGACAGACTGGTTGGAGTTAACAGAAAGGCTAACAGTAACTCAGATAACCACTCTTTACAACTGTGGTGAGCAGAAACGTGTCGTTCAACCTTGAGGCAGATGGGCCACAACAGCAGAAAACCACATCAGGTTCCACCCCCGGCAGCCAAAAACAGACTGACAGAGCGCACGAATCCCCAAACCCAACCTACATCGTTGAGATAAACTTAATTACAGACTATGAGCCAGACATTATCATCCAACATCATCATTGCGGCTGCACTGGATCAAATCATTGCAGCTAGGTTTTAAGATCTGGTGGAAAGCTTTGCCAGTGCTCATGGTTTTGGATTGAGATGCTCACATCAACAGTCACATATGGGTGTAATTTTCAGACTTCCACATATTTTTGTTCATATTTTGTAAATTGGTGTAAAATAATGAAGTAGACAGCTAACAGTTAATATGTTTGGAAAGTCTAGAAACTTCCTGCACAGAAATGACTCGATCATTCACGAAATATATTCGAAATGTCTTGAAAATAATTGTGTGCGTCTGTGTTTCTGTCATTCATCAGGCCATCAGCTCTTTGAACAAGTATCCACTACCGCTACAAAACGCCAAAGAGGCAAAGATCCTCCAAAACTTTGGAGACGGGATCTGTAAAATACTGGATGAAAAACTGCAACGACACCTCAGAGAGAAGGGTGAGAAACAGATGAAGGGATGGATGGAGTAATTGATGTTTGCATCAAGTGAGATTGCCAGGTGCCGAGGATGTTGTAATTTTATTACCATGTAAGTAAAACTATATATTTTAAAAGAATAAAGAAGGAAACAACAATGTTTTGAAAAAGATGGTATGTGCTTTGGTGTTCCTTTATTTATCTATGAGTATGTTCAGACAGGAGGGAATGTAGAAGGAAGAGATAGAAATATAATTATCAAACTACATAAACCACAGAATGAGCCGTCAAGAAGGAGGTGGATGGAGGGAAGTTTATTTTATTTTACAGTATAAGACTTTCTGTCATCAGTTTACATGTGCAGCTTCTTTATTTCCTCTGTCTCCACTTTTTTTCTTCTCTTCACCTCTGCTCCAGGTCCAGACGCTCCTATTCACTCGCTCCCTAAAGGAGCGCCTCCTGCTGGCAGACCAGACAACAACAGCCTGGCTCCATCCAGACAGGTAATAAAGGGAGTGCGGGCCGTGTAAAGACACACCAACACACACATCATAGTTTCTACACAGAGAAATTCATAGGGATAATTCAATTCCTCAGAAGCTGTGAGTTTGTCAGAGTCGAACCAAAACAATATGTTTTGACTAAATACCTGAAACAGGTGTAAAATAGAGGCGGGAACTCTTGAGTAGAGGATTTAATAAAAAAACCTTTATTAGTTATGTTGCTTTTTCATGACAATTAAAAAATCTGACAGGTCTTCATAAGAGTATAAACTTTCTGGATGTGATGACCAAACTGGCAGAGACATTTACTGTTTATTTACTTCAGTAAAAACAGTCAAATAATGATGACGAATGAATGAATGATTGTTTTTAAGTGAAGGAGGACAGCTATAAATCTGACTGTGTGGTTGTTTGTTCCTCCACTCCTGTGATAGTTTATGGAAAATGCAAAACAGGTTTTGCAACATTTAATTCCTAATATGGCCGAGGGTGATGTTTAAAGAATCGGTTTCTAATCCAAGAGTAAATGTGGTAAATATAAAAGCTTTTATGACGAGGAAATGTCGAATTTTCATTTTCTGTCGTTTCATCCAGTAAGAAGTGATGAAGTGAAATGGATGTGATCAGTGTGGATACTTCACTGAGCTGTGATTGATCTTTTCCTCTGTGATCCATCATTCTTTGTAGAAGAATGCTGCAGGGGATCGAGGGAAGGACAAAGGAGGAGGAGGAGGAGGGAGGAAGAAGAAGAGGGAGTACATGCCTCAGAAGAGGTCTGGGGGTTATGCTGTACTGCTCACCCTTTACAGACAGTCACAGGTATCACCTCTGCACATCAGACTTAGTAAAAATATTAGTAGTATTACACCGTGGCGTCACTCTGTATCATCATCATCATCATCATCATCATCTTTCTCTGCAGATCCCGGGTAGTAAAGGTTACATGTTTAAGCTGGAACTACAAGATGAAGCTCAGCTTCTCTGTGACAAATCTTTTAGTGTAGTAAGTCAAATATTTTTTTACAACACGACAATCCCGACCGACCAGTTTGCTCATGTTAATTCCTGGTATTAATCTTCCTGCCTGTATCTTCTCTCTGTTTCCCGACTTCATCTTGTCTGTCTGGCTGTAGCCAGATCTGGGCAGTAAGTACACGGCCTGGTCTTCAGTCAGCACTCTGATCCAGAGGAACCTGGTGATCAAGACGCACAATCCTGCCAGGTACACAGGAAGTGCATGCATTTGTTTTTGTTTATATTGAGATAAAAACCTGCTTGTTTTCCAGCAGAAGCCGACGGACTGATTCACCTAATTTGGGTTATACAACATATATAAGATTTTGCAGGGTGTTTTACTGCTTCATATTAAAAGCATCTAAGTTGTGAAACACGGGGTTCCTTTTATTGTGAAACAGTAACTGACTGGGGTTGTTCATCAAAAATTAACCTTAAAATCAAAACATCATTAAAACAATGAGTTTGTTTGGCTGCACTGTGAACCGATACCACCACTGCTGCGACACTTGCTTACACCACCAATTTATACTTTTATTTAATCAGGAAGTAAATAAATAACGAAAAGACATGATGGACTGAAATCATAACTGCTCTGTCTCTCAGGTATTCTCTGACTGAAGAGGGTCTGTCTTTGGCTGAGCGGCTGGAGTCAGCAGAGCAAGGGACTAAAGACAAGCCAGTGGGGGACAGAGTGGAGGTCAGGAGCGAAGGAGAGGAGGTGGAGGAGGACGAGGAGGGCGGTCCTGGGGTTGTGGATCTTACTGGCAGCGATGATGAAGAAGAAGAAGAGAAGGAGAAGGAGGAGGAGAGAATCCAGTGAGTGGACACTAAATAAATGGAGTCTTCATGTCGTGTTTGTTTTCCTGCTAGAAAAAACACAAACACAAATCACTCCTTCTCCACAGCTCCACAAAGAGGCCGACCTGCGTCTCCCAGCCAGGGAGGGAGGTGGATGTGGTGGGTTTGGATTCACAGGCGACAAGCAGAAAGGCGAATGGAGGATGTCTTCTCCCTGGAAGCTATGAAATTATACTGTGTGTTGACTTCATCGAGACCACTGGGTAAGAGAGCTGCCTGTGTGCTCGTCCTGAAGGTTTCTGTCAGTGCGTGTACACATTTCATGACGTGTTGATCCGCTTGTCGTGCAGCGGCAGCCATCACCGTAAGCAGGAGCTGGTCAAAGAGCTCCAGAGAAACGGAGTGAACTTCGATGTCAGGAAACTAAATGTCGGAGACTTCCTGTGGGTGGCTCGGGAAAAGATGGCACCTGTTCCAGGTAACGCAGACACGCACACACACACATGGGGAGACAAAACCAGAGGGGAAAGCGAGTGAACAGACGGATTATAATCTCACTCCGCAGGTCAGCTGCGAGCCCCCGCGGGCAGGGAGCTGGTCCTCGATTACATCATCGAGAGGAAGAGGATGGACGACCTGTGTGGCAGCATCATCGATGGACGCTTCAGGGAACAGAAGGTCGGTGTGTTGTGCATATTTTTCCTTGTCAGTAAAGCTGCGGTTATTTATTGGATTAGATTTCTCTATTGGAGCATAAACAATAATGAAAAATTATAAGTTACAAGGAGCATGTGCTTCTTTTTTCCAACCAACAGTCAATGAACCCCAAAATCTAATAGTGATGAAATGGACAAAAAAAATTGTACCAGTTTAACAATTTGTTGATCAACAGAAATTCACCTATTTTGATAATTGATTAATTGTTGATTCAGCAAAAATATCAAATACCTGCTTCTTGTTCAGACAAAATATAAGATTTGAAGATGTCACCAACACCTCTGGGAAGCTGTGATATTTATTTTTTGGACAGTTAATGGCTCCAACAGCTCATCTATTTATCAAGAAAATAATCTGCAGATTTACTGACAATGAAAATAATAGATTTCAGCCCCAGATTTAAGGCGCTGTAACCAGGAAACATTTGCTTTTTGTACTTTTTGAACTCTTCCTCTCTCCCACTCTTCCCTCCCATCAGTTTCGACTGAAGAGGTGTGGTCTTCGTCGGCCCGTCTACCTGGTAGAGGAGTGTGGGACGGCGGCCTCCCACCTGAGTTTACCTGAAGCCACGCTGCAGCAGGCCATCGTCAACACACAGGTGAGCACACAGTTTACTGTGGACTGGACTAGAGCCTGATCCATACACGGGACAGTATTGAACAATACTTGTTAACGCAGATATTAGAATTAGAGCTGCAGCGATTACTCAGTTAATCAATCAGCAGCAAAATGAATCTGCAGCTATTTTAATCAGTGAATAAGCAGCTTTTTTTTCTTTGTCACATGATGGTAAACTGAATTTATTTGGATTTTGGAGAGTTCATTGAACGAAACGACACTTTAAAACATCACCTTGATCTTTGGGAAATTATACCTGACAATTTTTATTGATAAAACGATTCACAGAAAAAATGATTGTAAAATGAATTGATAATGACAACAACTGGAATAGACACATTTGTGATTATAAATTATTATAGGTTTTATGTATTTGATATATTTCACCCTCATTAAAAAAGGGACTGTTGATGGTTTGTGGATGTATTTTTGTGTAATTGATTTTGTGTGTGTGTGTGTGTGTGTGACAGGTGGTTGACGGCTTCTTTGTGAAGAGGGTCCAGGATGTGAGGGAATCTGCCGCCTACCTCACTGTCATGACTCGATACCTGACTAAACTGTACCAGGTGAGACACACACACACACACACACACACACACACACACACACACACACACACACACACACACACACACACAAGCGTCATGTCTCTAAAAAGAGTTAGTAATTTGTCCTGTCTTAAAAGATGAGCTGCTGTTGTTGCCATGCCTACCACCGTAAATGTGGCATTCAACCACGAGCCAACTGAAGACGATAATCTATAATTATCTCTTTTTTAGAAAGGCTGAATAAGAAAAAAAATGTATTTGTTGGGGACTATTTTCTGCTGCGGAGTAATCCACATTTTGTGCTCTAGTGAGTATTTTACAGCAGCAGGACAGCGTGTATGAGATTTAATCGAAATAAACGACAGTGTGTGTGTGTGTTCATGGTGATGAGGGAACATGTCATCCTATTTTTTGGACAATAATGCAGCTCTGTGGAATATATCTGTCTAGAGCTAAAGAGCTGCTGACTCTCCGACTCACCTCCTCCCTAACTGTGACCTGTGCTTCACACTTTCTCTCAGAACCGTACGCTGATCTGTCGCTCCAGACAGCTGGAGGGTGATGAAGGGAGTGATGAAGAGGAGAGAGGGATCCCCTCCTGCGCTCTCATTTCTTTTGCAGAGTTCAACTATGGTGCAGTCAAAAACAAGGTGTGTGTGTTGTGTGTATAAACCCTCACTGAGTACATTTCCATTCACCTGTTTTAACCCACACTTTAAAATTGCACTTAAAACAGAAACACTCTTCAGAAACAGAAACTCTTCTTTTTTGAATAAAGTGACTTTGTGACCTTAAACATTTTTATTTTGTGTAAATGCAGCGTTGCCTTTTGTTACAGGTGTGCTTGTGAATGTTTGAATCCCTGTGTCCCTCTTTTGCCCTCTAGTGTCAGACAGTGAGAGAAGTGTTCGCCCGACAGCTGATGCAGATCAGCGGTTTGTCTGGAGACAAGGCAGCAGCCATACTGGAGCAATACAGCACTCCACACAGGTAACTCACATATTATACACATTTCACTCACTCACTCACTCACCAGGTGTGTTTACTCTTTCCTCTGGTGCCACAGGAAGTGATTCTGCTAAACAGATTTATTTAGATGAAATAGAAAAAGAACTTGCAGCATCTTCAGAAACTCACATTTTGACGGATGATGTAGAAACGGCAGAACTGAGACTGTAGCACCAAACATGACTCAGAGCTACAAAATCCCCAAACTCTGAAATGCAGATTGTGTTTTATATCCCTCATACTTCCCATTCACAAGAGATTGTGTTACTTCAGTAGAACTTGGACAAGAAAATAAACACCCAAGGGTAAAAAAAAAAACATCTGTTCAACACACTGTTAAGAAAAGAATAAAATTAATGAGCACCATGGCCTCAAACTGCTGTAAGAGATTATTTTATTTTTCGTCTTTCTGTGTCTCTTGTCTCTCCATCTCAGTCTTCTGGCCGCCTACGAACAGTGTGCAAGCGAAGCAGAGAAAGAGAAACTCCTCTCTTCCATCCGATACGGGAAGCTGAAAAGGTTTGTGGAGTTTACAGCCGTTTGAGTCATAGTTTTCTGGTCCAGATGTTCATGTAGCAATTCTTGTTAAAAGGTCAAAAGAAAGACACAATATCACTTCACTGAAAAATTAAATCACAAAATACACCTTTTATGTTATGAACAGACTCGTCTGCAGTGGCCCTGAGAAGTCAAAGCATTGCAACTTAATAAAACATGTAAATAGACAAAACACAAACAAACTTGACAACAAATAAGCTGCAAATCCAAAAAACACGACCAAATACACAAACGCCCTTGTTGTTCAATGCGTCTGACTTCAAAAGTCACCAAGCGTTGAACAAGAGGTGTGCAGGGATACATGTATTATAACATGTATATTATCATCACTTTTTAGTGTCGCCTGGAAACACTTCCTTTGTCGTCTGTGCTACTTGCAGCGTGTTTGTGTTTTGTGTTTTTGTCTATTTGCATGTTTGTTTGTTTTTTTTTTGTTTTTTTTATGCGTCCGCACCGGTGACAGCCAGTCCAGTGTAACTTCAGTTAAAGGATCTTTTGCACCTTATGAAACTCTGTCTACACCCAACAAAACCTGCCAAATAAGATAAAATAACTACATGAGCTACATGGTGACAGTAACAGGAGTAAATGCAAATAGTTAATGTTTTCTTTTCTTTTGTTTTTCAGAAACCTGGGCCCAGCTCTGAGCAGAACAGTTTATCAGCTGTACTGTACACAAGGAGCGCTGTCATAAACACAGTCACGTGAATACTTTGTTTCACTCATTCACATATTTTCTGTCTCAAAGATGGATGTAAACTCAAGCTCACTCACCCTGTAATGTGATGTAATGTCATTAATTTTCAGTTCCTCATTTACTTGAACAGAATAACTCCGAGGATGGTTTTCTATGTGTTTATGTAAATGTAAAGATGCTGCTATATTTACTTACTTTAAAATATTCCTAATGAAAACTTGTATGAAGAATTTCACAAACGTGTCCTGTTACTGCATCAATAAAGTTTATTTTGGATAATATTCTGTTTCTGTTTTAATCAGTCTATTGGACTATTTTTCAGTTCTGACTGAACTGTATTGACTGTAACACTAGTCTGGTGATCTAAAGCTAGATTTGTTTCCCAGCAGGTGTTAAAATTTTTGATAAATCCCCAAAATAGATTGAACTACCAGTAACTGTTTCTGGTTTGAGCTTCTCAAATGTGAGAATTTGCTGCTTTTCTTGTCATAAATGAAAATAGATGAAATATTGCTATGATTCGGACTGTTGATCAGATGAACAATTTGAAGACATCAGTTTGGGCTCTGGGAAATAAATTACCTGGAGAAATTGAGGAAATAATTGGCAGATTAGTAACTTAGTTGCACATGCATGTCCAGATGTTTCAGTTCCTTTCAGCTGCCACTAGATGTCACTCAAGACGCATTCTTTTCCATTGATGCCACCTACAATCAAGTTCCTTTCTGAAAACAAGATAAATGTGCATGTCTTCTGTGCGATACCCCTCAGGAACTGGCTGAGTTCATTTAAGTTGAATATGAATGCTTCTGTGAACTGTCTCTGGGGCTCATGTCCAGACTGACATTAAATGAATCCATCAATAGGAGTGAATTCCAGATAAATAAGTCAAATTTTTATTTATTTTTATTATAAGTTGATACCTTTATCACTGTTTAATGCTTTACAAGCTTTCAAGGACCATACTGTAGTTTTTCATGTTTTGGTCCATATTCCACTAATTGAAAAATCTGTCCAAAAAAATCAAACTTGAAAATTCTAGTTTTAATCTAATTTTGTTTTTAAGCTCGCCCTCGTATTCAGCCAATCACAGGCAATATTAGATCTTGGTCCAGGCATGCTGCATGCTTACTGGCTCACTGACTGACTGATTTATTTACTCCTTACCTGCATTTTTGGTTTGCTCCATTATGTTTTTATGCCTTATTATACTATGACATTTTATGCCACGTATGACATGTTTGTCTGTACCTATATGTCATATTTTTAACAGATGTTTGATCAGTTCTGTGTGCTCTGTACTATGGAAAGAATCTAAAGTCATACCTTTGCCAAAAGACAAAAGGCTCCATTTTTCTGGGGCAAATAGCAGGACTATTAGCCTACTAAGGGTTCTAAGTAAAATATTGGACAAGATAGTTTTCAATCAAATTCAGCATTATTATAATTTTTCTTTTATTAATGAACTCATACCAAAATCCCAACATGCATAGAGGTCACTCAACCAACTCTGCTTTAGTTCACATGACGGATAACTGGTTGAAGGAAATGGACAAAAACTGGTTGGATCTGTGATGCTTGATTTCAGTGCTACTTTCGATGTTTTAGACCATGAACTGCAAATCATCAAATGAAAGGACTATGGTTTCTTACCAACTCCTATCCCTTGGATGGAGAGTTATCTGTCTGGGAGAAAACAAAGGGTTTATTTTAATGGAAGCTTTTCAGAAAGCAAAGATGTATGCTGGGGAGTCCCACAAGGCAGCTACGTGGGCCCACTCTTATTTTCTATCTTCACCACTGACTTGCCATATACCAGGCAAAAATAGCAATGTATGCAGATGATGCAAACCTGTTTTGTGCTGTGTCTACTACTGATGAACCAAATGAAGCATTAAGCAATGAAGTGAACTCAAAACAAAGTGCATTATCTTTGGCATCAGAAAAATGCTGGCTAGTGACCCCAAACTAGATCTATCCATAGAGGGGACACCAATGCAGCAAGTTAGGAAAATTAAATTACTTGGTGTCATAATTGATGAATGCTTAAAGTGGTTAGACCGTATTAATGCAATTATTGCAAAAATGGGGATGAGTATCAGTATGATGCATAAATGCTCCCTTTATGTAACACCATAGATTAGGAATCAGCTAACACAGGCACTTGTTCCCTCACGTCTAGGGTACTGCATGGTTGTTTGGTCAAGCACAGCAAAAAAAGTTATGAAAAACTCCAGCTCACACATAATAGGGCAGCAAGACTACCTCTCAACTTCTCGTTTCAAAGTAATGTCATTAAGATGCACCACAGTCAGTAATGGTTGACTGTTGAGGCGAAATTAACATCCAGCCTTCTTACATTTATCCATAATTCTGTTGTAGATAGAAAACCAGCCTTTTTTATATAACAGTTAGTACAGACAGGTCAAACGCAATCACCAAACTAGACTCAGCATGCAAAATGCAAAAATTAAATCAACTTAAAAACTAATTTACAGAGCCTCCGGTCAGTGGAATTCACTACTAACATTTTCAGTTATGTCACTTTGTTTAGACTGAGAGGAGATCAATCAATACTTTTTTGTTGGATTGTTGTAGGTTTATATGCTGTAGGTTTATATCTGATTTTATGTGGACCCCAGGTAGATTAGCAACCACAGTAGAGGAAGCTAATAGGGATCCAGATAAACAATAAACAATTTTATGCCTCGCTATAACTTACTGTACGTTTTTATGCCTTATTATATTATGACGTTTTATGCCTTAATAGAATTTACTATACTATGACAACAACAACTTTTTATGGCTTTCTAGACTTTTTTCGCTTTTGTATGCCATGGTATAGTATGTTTTTTTGTTTTTTTTAAACTTCTTAGGCCTTACTATACCATTACAATTCAGGCCTTACTATAAAATAATATTTTTATGACTTTATACGCCATACTATACTATGCCGTTTTTTTTACTTTTTTTCCATGCTGTAATATGTCAGTTTTCTTTCACTTTTTTTGCCATGGTATACTTTTTTTTTTTTTTTACTTCTTAGGCCTTACTATACTACTACAATTTAGACCTTGCCATACTATAATGTTTTTATGAATTTATGCCTTACTATACTATGATGTGTTTTTTCACTTTTTTGCCTATGTTGTTTTTTTACTTTTTTACCAGACTGTACTATGAATTTTTTTCACTTTTTTGCCATACTATACTATGTCATTTTTTTCACTTCTTCAGCCTTACTATACTATCAAAATTTAGACCTTACTATACTATGATGTTTTTATGACGTTATGGCTCACTATTATGTTTTTTCACTTTTTTGCCATACAATACTATGTCATTTTTTTCACTTTTTGCCATACTATACTATGTCGTTATTTTTCATTTCTTACACCTTACTTTACTATTACAATTTAGGCCTTACTATACTAGGATGTTTGTATCACTATATGCCTTACTATACTATGATGTGTTTTTTCACTAGGTCTGGTAGGAGGCTTGGGCAGCCTTGTTCCCACCCCTCACCTTTTCTTTTACACACACACACGCACTTTAAGGCTTTTAGCCATTGGGAAAAAGACAACTTGGACTCTGCCTTTGCGGCGCACATGCTGGACAAGTTCAGTGCATCTCATTCTCCATGAACTGTGCTTCGGCGTTACTTAATATTGTGTGTGTGGAATGTGGAACTATTGCCATATTAGTTCAACCTGGGACTGTGTGTATTGCTTGATTTTGAATGTTGATGATGCATCAGAATTATGAGTGCACTATATTATCCAGTTAATGTAATCTGCAGACTGTAAATATTGGGGTTCACTGTATATATTGTCACATGCTAATATATGGTACCAGCCGCATTTGAAGTGCTGTTTGTGTGTATTTATTGTACCATTACCTCCGAGAATCGAACCTGTCTTTTGATTAATCTAGTCATAACATAACCTGCGCACTGGCTACATATACTATGTCGTATTTTCAGCTTTACTATACTATGTTGTTTTTTTTCCACTTCTTAGTCCTCACTATACTATTACAATTTATGCCTTACTATACTATGATGTTTTTTCAACTTTTTTGCCATACTATACTATCTAATTTTTCACTTTTTTGCCATTCTATACTATGTCATTTTTTTTCACTTCTTAGGCCTCACTATACAATTACAATTTTGAGCCTTACTATACTATACAATTTACGCCTTACTATACTATGTCATTTTTTATGCCTTACTATACTATGTCATTTTTTCAACTTTTATCTCTTTTTTTAAAATTTTCTGTCATACTATACGATGTCTTTTTTTTCAACTTCTTAAGCCTCACCATACTATTACATTTTAGGCTTTACTATACTATGATGTTTTTATGACTTTTTTGCCATACTATACTATGTCATTTTTTAACTTTTTTGCCATACTATACTATGTCGTTTTTTTCACTTTTTAGGCCTCACCATAATATTACAATTTAGGCCTTACAATACTATGACGTTTTTTTCACTGTTTTGCCATACTATACTATGTCATTTTTTTAACTCCTTAGGCCTTACTATACTATTACAATTTAGGCCTTACTATATTATACTGTTTTTTTTTCACTTTTTGCCATACTATACTATGTCGTTTTTTAAACTTTTTTTGCCATACTGTACAATAAATTTTTTGCATTTTTATGCCTCACAATAGTATTTCATTTGATGCCTTACCATACTATGATGTTTTTATGACCTTTTATGCCTTAATATGCTATGGTATTTTCTTGACATTTTTTGCCATACTATACTATGACGTTTTTTGGCATTTTTATGCCATACTATACTATGATGTTTTTTAACAGTTTTAGGCCTTACTTTACTATGTCATTGTATCCCTTACCATACTATGACGTTTTTATGACCTTTTATGCCTTAATATGCTATGGTTTTTTTTTTACATTTTTTGCCATACTATACTATGACGTTTTTTGGCATTTTTATGCCATACTATACTATGATGTTTTTTAACGGTTTTAGGCCTTACTTTACTATGTCATTGTATCCCTTACCATACTATGACGTTTTTATGACCTTTTATGCCTTAATATGCTATGGTGTTTTTTTGACATTTTTTGCCATACTATACTATGACGTTTTTTGGCATTTTTATGCCATACTATACTATGATGTTTTTTAACGGTTTTAGGCCTTACTTTACTATGTCATTGTATCCCTTACCATACTATGACGTTTTTATG